GTGCAAACAGTCATTTAATTTTTTTTATTGTTATGCATACAGTTAGTTCCTCTGTCTATTTAAAAATAATTTTTTTTTAATATAAACCTGCCCACAATTCAGCCTTCGGCCTGCGACGGGAGAGTGAAATGAAACATTTTTAAAAACTATCAAGAAACAAGGATTTTTCATACATGACAAACAAAAAAAATCAATTTTTAAAAAACAATGTTTGCACCTCAAGGCAGCTATTTCTCTGGAGCTGAGTATGTTCTTAACATTATTAGTACCTACAGTTGTTTAGTTGTTTGGCAAACAAGAACAAAAATAGTTTCAAGATTTCTCATCCAGCTTGAATGATTCGACATTCTTGTTTGAAGGATTGGAAGCTTGTGACCATTACAATGTACTAAGAAACCCAGATACAGTAGGCATTTTCTAATTCGAGATTTGTAATCGTTCGTGTCTTACTTTTGGGACTGGACCAGGCGCGGTTCTAGAGCCAATATTTTTTGGGGGCTAGCAGGGTGGATCCAGAATTTGTTTCAGGGAGGCGTGCTGAAATGTAGACCGGTTATTTTCACCGGACACTTAGGCCTCCGAATTTCAAAAGGTTGGGGGGGGGGGGGGGGGGGGCTCGTGCCTTATTCAAGAGGGAGCGCGGATAAAATCCTACAATCAGGCACACTACAGGGTGGATACAAAAATGAAATATTATTGCAAATTGGAACAGAAGTTGGGCACATGTGAATCAAAGGGAGATATCCTCCTTTAGGGTTAAATATCCTCTTTAAAATGACACCCTAATTGTGTGCTTACATTCACGGTTGACTGAGCAGTGACCAATTTTGTGCAAGGGTCTATTTAGAGGCTTGCGCCACTTTTCATGGTGAAATCACTTTTTTCCCACCTGCCTTGATTGGCAATCATAGCCTTTCACTCTGTGACAAAAGACACCACAAAAACCACAACTGCTACAGTGTCACCTACAACCCGACTTCGGACCAATGCGACTTCGGACTATCGAGACTCAACCGACAGCTCCAATGTCACCTTCAACCCGACTTGTGGTCCACTGTCACCGCTGCCCAAGCCAAACCAAGCGATGGTTCCATTGAATTTGACTGCTCTTCGGCGTTGAAGGCGTGGTACGTCAGCGTGAATATTTCCTCCTCTCCTGCGACCGTGCAACTTTGTGAGGTCACACAGGGGAGGAATCCCCCTTGCTCAATGTGCAGGTATTAAACAAAGCTACACCTAAGTTCTTCTAGACTTTCCTAAGCAAAGAAAAGAGTTCCTTCCAGTTGAACCAGACTTGTGGCTCACAACTTGTTGGGTTCCGGAATGTGTCTTAAAAAAAAATAAAAAAAATAAAAAAATTACCTCTTTTCAGAGGAATCAATAGAAACCCGAAATGTTTTTTTTTTAAATAATGTGATCTTAGGTGTATGCCATACATTGTAAACACGTTCTGCACTGGTACCCCGCCCCTACCTGTCCCTGAAATTAGCATAAAAAGGAAGAAAGACGAAATTTTGTTTAATTCCTTTCATAAAATAAATAATGCGAGTCTGGACTAGCCCCTTTCCACATAAACAAAAATAAATGAAGATGACGGGCTGCTCCTCACTCCATCCATGTATTAAAACACAATGTCAGAAATTTATAATCTACACGCACTGATGTTAATTGAATGAGAGCAAAAACAACTCATCGTTTCCTTCCCAACCTTATTCCCCCCCCCCCCCCCGCCCGCCCGGCTTGTTCCATTGCGCTTGACTTCACAAATCTTGCCGTGACTTTGCACTGTCTTGCACATGCGCTCCACCCCATCCCTCGTCCCAGCTCACACATATAAGTTGTTGGCATGCCACAGAAACCAAAACCGCAAATGTCCACGCTCTCTTGCAGACCTCATTCAGCCAATACTGATTGAACACAAATATACATTGAGTCTGCTTGAGCATGGCGAGGAGATTTAATAAAAGCCAAAAGAATAACAAAACTAATGCAGCTAAGAATAGATCTGTCCAATCCCGCCAAATCAGCAAAAAGCATGAGAAATGGGCGAAGACAATCTCTCTTGAGCTAAAAGCTAAACATAGTATGCCCTATGTAAAGAATCTTTCGGACACTCAGCTCTCTAACATTGAACTGATTGCTCTGGGTAGCGGTTTAAATTTTATACCCACCCCTAGAAAACCAAAAAGGTCGACCATCCTTCGCCATTCCCAATCATTTTTCAGGAAAATGAGATTACGGTTAAAAGCGGAAGGGAGAGTAACACCTTCAAATTCGCATCCTTTCAAATTGTCCTCCACTTGGAATCCCCAACCTACCTTCAACCTCAATCTAGAATCATACATTGAGAGTACTTTGGAGGAATTATCCAAATTGGAAATAAAAAATGTCAAATCTAACATATCAAAAGCGGACCGCATCGCTCTGATCGGCCTAAAGCAAAGAGGAGACATAATCGTTAAACCATTCGATAAAGGCCGCGGGGTTTGCGTTAGGGGGGGGGGGGCACTTTGCCCCCCCCCCGGCGGATTTGTTTGACAATTTTTTTTGTCAGCAATGATTTGAAGTGTTTATAGAGTTCTTCTGACATCAATACCACCAAAGAAAACCCGCTCAACAACCATTACAATGCTCCGTGAAATTGTCCATATAATAATATAGTATACATAATAATGGTCAGTTTTGAAGAGCGCCCCCATTTGGAAGATGGGTACCAGCGCCCCCCCCCCCCCCCCCCCCCCGCTTTTTGATTTTACGGAGGGCAAGAGTCCGGAGAAAAAAAACCATGTCTACGTTTCGGCGCGGATGTGCAGTCACAAGGTCCGCCATGATCGGGACGATGCGAAAGGATACAGTTAAGGAAAACCTCAGAAATGTACAACACCGACAAAGGAAAGCAAGACACGACCAAGTTATAACGAATTCAAAACATTTAATTCCAATAAACCAAACTTAAATAAACAAAACTAACAATTAACTTACTATAGTTTCAACTTACATTACACATCAAGAATTAATACAATATAAATAAAATACCCATCACCAACTCCATCGCGGTACCGGTGTCACGGTCTCACTTCTCCGGCGTGCTAGCTTCTCCGCAGAGGGAAATTTCGCCTAAACACGCATGCGCAAGTTGCGCAGTAGTGTACATTTCGCCAACTTTATTGTGTACTGAGTCCCGTTAGGGTTGTACGGGTGCACGTGAGGTCTTTGGATATTTGTATGTACAAATGTATACGTTACAAGGTACCAGTCGAATCCAGAATTTTCGTGGCGCGCGGAACTCCCAATACACTGTACATGTAAAGATGTGAAGGATACACATGGCTGGTTGCAAAAATAAAGACAACCACGAACGAGCAAGGAACACAGACCTTTCACAGACCAAGGAGCCATGAACAGACTAAGGAGTTCGTTCTTAATTATTCTTCCATACACGTACACACCCACGCTGTTGCAAGACCATGGAGGCAAAATACTCCAGTCCTCTCTAAGCTTGACCCACAGGAAGTGTTACATAACACATTCTTGGGTGGACTTGATAGACTCCATAGCACCGCCCGAGGAAAAGTAAGCACAACGGACACATGAACATGTATCGAGCTCATGTAACGTGCACTGTAACGTGCTCAATTATCCGCCGCATTCACCCGGAGAATCCAGCACGCCGGAGAAGTGAGACCGTGACACCGGGACAGACAAGGGGAACGGAGACAGCAGCACACGGGAGCATCGGCGGCTTCCAGCGGGTGACGTCAGGTCCACTGATGCATGCTTGGACGGCGGTCGGCACAGCACTTCCGGCTTAGAATCACGGTGTCCCGATCCCAACCGAAAAAAACCCTGAAATTTAATGTGTTTATGCTAATAAATACACTCGTACAAATACAGTTCACTTTAGTGTAAGAAAACCGCAATTTTATAAATTATCTTAACACAAAGAAACCCTCACAATTCTAGCGAAAAGACATCTTTGACATAAAAACCAAATCAATAGGTTTTTATGTGCATGCAGGCTGAGTAAACCTGAAACAGTTCAGTGGTAACCACGCAAAATTTCACAAGTGTTCAATGATGATTTTAAATTAAATAAATCACAACTTACAGAATAAATCTGGCTTTTAAGGCTTGTGACTAGGTGGCATTACGAGCTCCCTCGGAAAACCCACAGCCCAACGGGTATCCTCAATCATCGGCATCGGCCGGCAACATAAACTTCCGTCGGCTTTCCCCAGAACTGGAGATCCAATTCAAAAAGGGCCTCTGTGCCCTAAGAGACTTCGAGCTGAGTTGCTTGCCACTAAGTGACGTGCCACTCCCTACACCTTGCTTTTATACACCCACAAACATTTAATTGGAATGTGCCGCACCCATGCATGGGTACTGGGCGACCAATCCCATACAGCACAATACGTGCATGGTAGTCTGCGTGGCAATTTACGCTTGAACTATTTGCATATTTAACCCAAATACGGGACATGGGCACGACGGCCGTACTAGTATGTCTAAAACTCTGTCAGGTGTGAAACTTTAACAAAATACGTTTTATCCGAATACCCCTGGTTTAAAGTGGCAACTCATACCTTTAGTTTCGCGTTTCACTTAAACCAATTTTGGATTTCCGAATATTGCTCAATATACACCGGGATGTTTTATACAATCATAACCACCAGAATTATACAATTATCACAAATCGTCTTATACAATAATAATTTCCAAATACCACTTTAACTGAAATTAACCCATAAGATTATTACAAACAAAATTCGTCATCTGTGACACCCCCCCCCCCTCTGACATCAAACGCTGGATACGCTGCTGTATATACATGATGGGCTATGACAACTATCAGGCCCACATTATGAAGAGATTGATAGGGATTTGACTGGAGGAAAGTATTGAAAAATTGGGCCGACTGGTAAAATCATATAGGACTCCTTCATCGGTTTGTTCGGAGCTAGGAGGTGACAAGTTAGTCAGCATCATGCTGAATGACATTACACCTTGTGATATATCTTTACCGAGTACTGGTCAGCCACTGCCAGCTGCTGCCCATCAGCTTTGAATGTGATTCCTAAGGGGTTGTACAGACCTTGCACCACACAGCTGACAAACTGACATGTGCTGTCATAATGGTGAATGTGACCGGTGTTGACGTACCCTGTGTCCACTGCAATGTAGATACCCGAGCTATTGCTGCATATACCCGCGCAGTGTTTCACTGGTTTACCGACTATGGTTGGTTGCACGTAGGCGACTGTAGTAGCTTTGTTATGGGAAATATCCATTATGCCCGCTAGTCCCTCTTCGCAGTCACTGATTGCAATCCAATCATTGTTCAGTACAGCCAAGAAGTCAGGTCGGATCCTCAATGGTATGGTGCGTATGAGTTTGCCTTTTTTACCCGGCTGATGTACAGTCAAAACCTTCCTCTTGGTATCCCCCGCTATGATGTTGCCATTGTTCATGACTACTATACTTTGAATTTTTGTCTCGCCAACCTCACTTTCAGATGCTGTTTTGAACTTATAGGCTAGTGTCCTGTCTCGTTTGTACACCTGAACAACTCGTAGACTCGCAACCATCCATCCATCCGGCACAGTCGTAACGTCAGCTAAAAAAAAAGTCAGTGCAACAAGGTCGTCACTCCATCCTGCAAGAAGTCGTATCTCGCGCGAATACGCTCCGTGCAACCACGGATCCTATACACCAGGATTATTAACGACTCGGCCCAACTCCTGGTTAGACGCGTGATAACGCCCCATACAGGTGGGATAACCACAAATACTTGTTTCCAAAGACCCCTGCGCGGAGCGGCTTTCAGATTTGCCGGGCTCTGCACCCGATCTGATGTCAAAGTCTGTCAAGCCAGCTAATTATATTTTTGAATATTCATGACCCTACGTTTTTGGCCTCTATTATTGAATTTTATAGCACAATATCTTTAGCTTTAAAATGAACTATGAAATGTTGCATTTGTTTCATCGGTTCATCTCTCTAAAAGTTTTAATGAAAGCCTTATCAAAAATTATATTTCGGGTAAACGGTGTTCTCCTTGGAAAAGGTGTCACATTTGACGTTTATTTCCCGTGTAAACACTTCATCTATGACGACAAAAACTGCACAATACCGTCTGTTATATCCTGAAGTAATTAAATGTTAACAATTGTGGAACAAGTATACATAAAGAGTGGTTTTGCTTACAGCTTATGAATATTTCAGTTTTAATCGTCATGAAAAAAAACCTCGACAAAATGACTATTCTGGAAAATTCGCGATTAACATGCCAACGGGTACATTTATTAATGCACGTTATCACGCGTCCAACCAATTTAGGCAAGTGCGCTCGTTGCATGTTGTACAAGGGTTCAGAACAGTCGTTCATCCTTATGTGTAGGATCCGTGGTGCAACAAGGTCGTGTCTCGACGTCCATTGACTTTGTGTGTCCATACGAGTGAGATGAGGCATTTTGACATTCTGAAGCTCGCGTTTCATGTACGGCCCATGTTGAGAAGCGACCTTGTTGCAAGGACACGACGTATTGTGGAGCTGAAAAGGGGTCCAACTCAAAAGAACAAAAAATGGAAATGGACAAAAATATTTTTTTTTATCGATCCACAGCAGTCATTCTACGTTCACTGTTGAAATCAGTTGGTGTTCAGAAAAATGTAAAGGAAAAATGATCCTCCCAAAAGAAATATTGTTGAATGCATTTTTTTTTTATGAGCGTATATTATACTCAGTGCGCGTTTCACACATTATTATTTGTATACTGAGTAATTCCTTATGTTGACGCAATGCTTATACTTTACATAAATATAGTATATTTATATACATGCATGCATGCACATATAGTATATGTAGAACGAGGCATCTCCTTGAAATGAAATGTGTTTAAGTCGAACAAATTACCTGAAATAACGGAAATGGAGCCCTTGGTTTTACCCTGTTCGTCACAGATGATTACTCGCTCGTTCTTCCAGTCAGTCACAGCAATCTCGTCAGGTTCAGCAGCAGCAGCAATGCCTCTGGCTGATTGAAACTCATCTTTACCTTTACCTTGTTATCCAAAAGATTGACACATCTCCCATGTTTCTTCCATCATCAATTTTCCCAAATTGATATCAGATTTCTTACTCTGGACGAACACGGGATGCGACTTCAACCCTACCATCTTGGGAGTCGGTTGACCTCTGAGTTTGTCCATGTCTTTCTTGATTACGGGATATAGGGAAAGAAAATCCAAGTCTGATGCGTTTCTCGTCACTGCTTGACTTGTCTGCAGAGAATGTTCCTTTCTCTGCAGCATGGTACTCAGTGTCTTCTCGTGCTCATCCAATCGCTTGTTTTGCTCTTGTTCCTGGGTTGTGATCTCATTGAGGAGTCGTTTCTCTTCAGCTTTGACCTTTGCTATGACCTCAACAGCTCTGTGCTGAACTTCCTTTCGAGACTTTGCCGTTTTGTCCTTGACCACTTTCTTGGCTTCAATTGTGTCCTGCAGAGACAACCCAAGCCTTTGTATGATTCTACCCAAAGCAGAAAAGTCATTCTTCAATGACTCTCTGTATTCTCTCGAAGCATTTCCAGTTTCAATGATGTCATGATTTGGTTTGGAGTGATCTATGACAGTACATGCCTGGCAGATCAGCTCATCGCATGTCTTGCAGTAAAACTGTTTCAAGCTCTGCTTGTGTTTGTGGCATGTATACTCGTCCGGTTGTTTAGTCATGCTCACTTTCCCTGACGAATGTTTTCAAAACTTGCTATTTTGTGATTTGCTAATCCTGGAAATTGCTTGTGTGTCTTAAAGCAATCCATGCAGATATTCATCTCACAATCCAAGCAGCGATCCTTGGCTTCGTTCCCCTTATCACACACCTGACAGAGCAACTTTGCTTCAGCTGAGCATGCTACCTTTTCCTGTAATTTAAATTCCTCAATAAGTCCAGCCAAATGGAAATTGGTCTTGAGGCCTTTTACGCCAGACACAGGAAGTACCGTCTCCTGACGACACAGTGGACAAGGGATATTTGGTTCGGCGTTATATCTGCCATTATGATAAGTCAGCAGACACTCCTCGCAGAAGCTGTGCTGACAGTCCAGTACTTTGGGCAGTTTGTGTTTTTCTTGGCAGATAGTGCACTCAAGATGCTTTCCGCTTATCTGTTCCAATGTAGAACGTACTGATGACCCAGTAGCCATCTGTGATCGAAAAACGCAAGGATGAATTTGTGAAAATCAGGTGCAAGTCACTTTCAAGAGTAAGCCCCAGTGGCGTAGCAAGCGGGGAAGTGGAGGGGTTGGGGTTGGAGGTGGACGGGGTATTTATTCCCAAATATTTTGTAACAAGTGCCCTTTTATTTTAAGATGGAATTTAGCATCGGGGTGATATAAATCAAATTAGGTTTTGCCCTTCACCGACGTTTAAACACTGTATACTCAGTGTGTTACCTCCCGAGTGAAAGTTGGAAATATCACTTGGGTGGGACTCGAACCCACGACCTCCTGCTTTCTAGTGCAGATGTCTTACCACTCGACCACCGAGCTAACGGGATCGGTTGGCTTTTTATTCCCACAAGGGCTCTTTTTTACAAGCGCCTTTTTGAATGAGTGTCCTTTTTGGAACGACGCGCGAACGTCTGCCATTGTGCCGCCATGAAAAGCGCCACCTTTTGTCCACCTTTTGCCTATGATCGTCCGCTTACAATAGCGTGCGTTTTTATTTTACCGAGGCCGGGGTGACCGGTAAAAAAAAAATTACTGTCTAACCTTCAGCACGGATGGGCGCATGCCTTTTTTGCACGTATACCCTAAATAAAAAAAATCACCTTGCAACGTCACTTGGGCCCTATGGTTAAATATTGCCCACAAAATATCTTGTATCCAACCGGTTAGGCTCGGATACGCTTACATATTGGCACTTATGGGGTACCGGGAACAAAGGGTAACAATAGGGACAATGGTACCCCGCAAGTCTGTCTTTAGAAATTGAAGTACCCCATAGCCGTAACGCTGTACGTTTTGAGATTTCTAAGGGGACAAAGGAGAACAAAAGAAGGGAACTGGGGTCGAACAATAGTGGTATCCCATAAACCCCAAATGCTGCTATTGGTTTGGGCTGGGGTGGGTTGGGATGGGATGGATTAGGCTGGGGTGGGTTGGTGTGGGCTGGGTCGGGCTTAAATCGGGTGGTTTAGGATTTGGTTCGTGTGGGGCGGTTTTGTTAGAGTGAGGTTCGGTTTGGTTCATGTCGGTTTCGTTCAGTCCGACACGGGTTGAACGATACCAATGTGTTCAAAAACTGCTAACAGTTGAGTGATAGCTTTAGTAATTCGATGTTAAAAATAACTCAAGGAGTTACGCCCACAAAACGGTACAAACCGGTGCTGGAATAATTATGATAAGCCCTGAGTAATAACGTCATATCATGTCGTTATATTTACTTAGCCATCTGGATGCACTTGAATGAGTATTTTGAACCTACCTTTATCAGTTTATAAAATATGAAAATGGGTCGTCTATATGTACTTTGGTAAGATTTTAAGGGACTGTTCAGTTTTTCACAGCATGCTGAGATACTGAACAACATTTGAAAACTTTTGAAGCCTTTCCTTTTTTGCTTTGTTTAATTTTGATTGGTTACTTTTTGATTTTAATACCACGGAAAGAGTTTTTACCTTGTTTACAAGTTCGGTGCTATTTATCTCGTATGGGCTGTGAGGGTGCGATCTCGTAAGAATGTGAATCGTTAATTTATCGGCTCAGAACTACTTCAGTTTGAACTCTTTCTCTTGATTTTCCCTGTGAAAATATTCCTGTGAAAATACCCTCTCACGTACTAAAACTGGAAACCGGACGTTATGAAATTCACCGATTGATTTTTACAAGAAAATGTTGTTCTCTAAATATTTAAGCGATTTTCACTCCGAATCATTAGTCTCTTGTTTCATTTTGTTTTTATTAGAGGGTTCAGTCTGTACAGTTGTTTTATTTTTAGGTTGATACCATTTAAAAATTCAATAACTTGATTGCAAGTTAAAAACTGACAGACCGTTGGGTTAACATAGAAAAAGTTGTGACACCTGCGCTTCTCATTGTAAAAGAAAGGCTGGGAAACATATTATAAGTGTTCCTTTTAATTTCCTTACTGGCCGTTAGGCCGATACCGATTAAATAATTAATTATATGTAGATATTTAATTATTAATTATATCATCTTTGTCTTAATATCAATCTTTTCTTGGACGACTCGACAAGACTTGGTTTAAAAGGGGAGAAACGCGTGATTAAATTGTGAACTATTCCTTCAGATCAATGGAACGTAGCAAGACGTCGAATACTGAATCTCATTTTAATATAATATTTTCAAAATATCGAATTGCTGTTTAAAACGTTTATGTGTTGAATTCAATGCAAATTGAAGTATTGCATTATAAAAGCCTGTCTGCTTACAATACCAGTGCGAATTTAATACCAGTGTGAATTCAATCTATTCATAGCCTTTTAAAAATGATATCTGTCACACTGGCAGCACATGTGTTTTGTATCGGAAATGTTTAACCAATGAAATACCGAACAATATTCTTACCTTTAACTGATAACATGTACTTGTCGTCTCTATTGATGGTGTACAACTTAGATGTTTCAGTCAGGGCAAATTTGAACAAACTGCCAGCAGCCAAGATATCCTGGTCCAAACATGATAACTGTTGATCACCTTTATCTCACTGCGCTGTATTCAAGTGGTACTTGTGAATTTACCGTGAATCTTTGGACCTCTAATCCTACAAAAGTTCGCTGACTTAACACCCCTCACAAACATTGTACCGTTTCAGTGCACTTTGCGAGACCATGCACAACAAGAAAAACGAGTTGGAAGTGCGCCCTCAGTTTGACCAAAACACTACACAGGCGTCTTAATTATTAGACACACGCGGCCAGGTACCGGCACTGGCTAGACCTATGAACTCGCTGTTGATTGAGAACAGCAATTGAGAACAGCAGCTGCAACCGATCAGTCTCGTGTCCGGCAGGAAAGCCCGCAGTTAAAGCAAAGGGTGTCACTACAGTGATTTAAGTCATTTCTTGCAGAGTACTGGCTTGTTGGCGAGATATCGCAAAACAACCACCGACTGCAATGGTGTTACATAGGCGCAGCAAGGTCATGTTTATGGTGGGGGGTAAACAGTTCTTGAAAAGGGCACTCGCACATCCGTGCTGAAATGTAGACAGGTTTTTTTCTCCGGACACTTTGCCTCCGTTAAATCAAATAGGAGGTGGGGGTTAACATCTTTCAATGAGGGCGCTGTTCAAACAGGACGAACGTACACACTTTCGGACAATTTATGTTTTTCAGGGCGGCACAAGCACGAAATCCCCCAAAAGGCACTCGTTACAACCGCTAGTTAAAAAGGGCACTTGTGTAAAAAAAAGGCTCTCTTTAAAACAGTTGGGGGGGGGGAACACTTGCGAGAAAAGGCTTTGATTGGAAAAGGCCAATCTTTACAAAATATTTGTTTCAATACCCCCTTAACCCCCCCCCCGTCGGCTACGCCTATGTGTTATATGTGGCGATTTTTACCCTCCTCTAGCCGCATTCGCCTCAGCTATTCGCCCCTCAAGTGTTAGAAATATCATATCCCACAACAAAGCAGTCAAGAATTTCTAATGTTAAAGCCGTAATTGAACAGAAAGTTTGTAAGGAAACGTAAGCATTTTACATATTTAACTAACACGTACCTGATTGCTTTTTTTGTGCGGTAGTGAACCACGGTTTAGTTCAATAACGTTCAATCCGCGCCAAATTTCATGGCTCTGTTAACCACAACATTTCGTGCCTAAGTTCACCCTCGAAAAAGGCCTCTCACTTCCGAAAATGTGAAATAAAGTCATGTTGACATTAGGAACTCAGTGTACTCTAACTGGAACTCATTGGGTGAAAACTGAAACTAAAATAGGAGACCAAAATGTCTTTTAGGATATGACTTTTTTGGGCTTAACTTGAAGGACTTATCAGACAGAATTCCAGCCAACCAGAGTAGAACCCATCGACTGTATTTAGTAAATCTTTGCGTCGTGAAATATTTTTGTTCTTACGCAAGTACGCGGTGTGAAAATAAACGTGAACGAACAAGGAGAACTAGAAAATGGGCACTTTTTACAAAATATTGGGGCTAGCGAATTGTTATTCGGCTAGCAAATTGTTTTCCCCTAAACGACATCCGTTTCCCATCTTCGGATTGGCCATTATATTGCATATTTAATGACTTGTCCTCCACAACACAAACCCAAGGTAGGCTTTACGTCTTGTGAGAAATGTTCCTTCATCACTTTACGTATTTAAAAGGTAAAATGAGAAGAAGTGAAAAATGCTCACTGGGCATCGAACTCGGATCACCTGATTAGAAGTCACTTCAGGACTTTACTTCCAACCAGTCAACGAATAAGCTGCCAATCGTCGGTGATTTAAACACCATTATTCGCCTTTCAAATAATGGTTGTGGATAATTTTCATTTTAAATTTAAGGGTGCATGAAGCTAAAGTGACTAAAGTGTTTTTTTATTGTAAAATTCATGAAACCATTTGTGCTCTCCATACGTCCATCAAACTGTAAGAACACCTAATTTTGTTTTGTTCTCAGATCATTAAAATTACCAAAAGAAACAGATTTCCTTGACCAGTAAGTAATAATTAACAAGATATTAAACTTAAAACGACAGAAATATTTAAACGTTTCTTTGTGCGTTGTAGTTCTGAGAAACACTCCAAAATTACGCGATTCGTGGATTTCTTAGTTTGTGGAGATACGACTACGGCTTAAACGTAGAACCAACCAGCATTCTCAAACGTTTAAACCAGCAGATAAGGTCACTGGTGCTTTTGAGCTTTATTGAAATTGTTCTCACTAATGAACTGGACACCAGTTTTAACGAGCAAAAGCTGAATACATAAATATTTAACTTGAAAGCATGTAGTATCATGAACGTTTAAGCCATGAAAGTACACTTGATTTCTTTTTTATCATGTAACCGGCCAGTATATACACAATGAAATTCACCCGTTTAGTTTGGTAGTGAAACTGTTGGTTAGTGTCCAACTTGGTAAGACTGTTTGGTGATCATAGCAGATGACCTCGATTCGGCATCGTTATAAGGGCTTCAGGTCTGATGTTGCAAATATGTTCTTACGCATCTCCGCGGTCGTCCATTGTGGGGTCGATTTACTCCGTAGGGCTAATCTTGCACATGTAGGAGTAAACTTGGTTGCAATTGAGGTCATTCCAACGGCCATCGCTTCGATCTATCATCATGTGAGTACAGTGCTCACGATCAGCGTAGTTGTCGGGTTGGCCATTGTCCCATTTGGCGTAGTTGGTCGATGACCCATCCGTCCAGACGAACTTCCCTTCCTTTGCCTTGTCAGTTAAGCCGATCCACATGCCAACCTTTGTTGTCCCACGGACTGACTTCCACATCTCGAAGAGCAGATCATGCTCCAGGGCGCTGCCTATGGACGCCAGGTGACCCTGACCGACTCTAGTGAACTCCTGGCAGTGCTTCTCAGCTTCAGCGAAGGTCTTGCCAATGAGGAACACATGGTAGCAGTTGCCATTGTGGAGAGTCCACTTCGATGGACACTTTGAGCATTGTGGTTTAATTGCTGTAACAATATCTACGCTGAGAGCAACCATCAGAACCACATACAAGATTCGCCTGAACGCCATGCCGTTGACAATCGGTCAGCCTATTATATCAGTAAGTATCACAAGCCAATCTGCAGTTTCAGATTGAGGATACAAGATGAAATGATGCCGATTTTAACCAACCAGTTGGATTGTAGTCTTGGTACACACGCTTAAAATCTGTCAGGCCGTTTAGGCGTCAAGCGTGACGTAGAGTGGTGTGATTGGCTGCTGTTGGAGGCAGGTCTGTGACGTACAAGCTGGCGCAGCGAACGCATTTAATAGTACAGCAGACATGGTAAATAATTATTCAACAAACGCCTCTTGGCCTCTTGATTTTGAGCAATCCTTAGGCTTGTTAGATTGTGCCTTTGATATGCTAATGGCATATTTTAGAAAATGGCGCATGCAATTATTTTTTGGTGTTAAAGTAAAGGCTGGTTCAAACTTCATGCTAATGCGATGCGAAATTTGACGTCATGACGCATTTGCTGCGAAGTTCGCCGGAGTTGAAATGTGGTCAACTTTTTGCGAATGGACCGATCCAGTAAGCACCTCCCCATGGTATTCTGACCAATCACAGCCGTGATTTATGTCCGACATGCGTGCACAAAAGTCCGACATGCGTGCACGCGCATATGATGCGCGCGGCAGGAAAATGCAGTGTGGCATTGGAGAGGAGCACGTTTTAATTTGCCCAGTGCGCAGTGGGAGGGGCTTACTGGATCGGCCCATTCGCAGCGCGAAAACATGTCATGACGTCACAAATTCGCGTTCGCGTTTGCGCTGAGTATAACCAGTCTTAAGGCAGTCTCTTTGGGACAAAAAAAAAGTCTCCAGTTTCTGGTATTGAGCTTGCCCAAAAAGTGGTGCGGCGACGCGGCTTTTTTTTTTTTTACCTAATTTTTTTTGCTTCAAATGTCGGTTGAAGACTGCAAATGGTGCCCGACTAAACTTGCAAATATGGGAGTCCAGAGAGGCCACATAAAGCTTATTCTCGACCATAATCTAAAAACACGTTAAAATTGTGCAGCAGCAGGATTCTAGTCAAACCAGTGAGTTTGGCTGTTTTGAGACATCATCTTTCATTGAAAAAAAAAACGTTTTCATTTTGCCGACGCGCATGGCTAAGGCGACGCGCGCGCATACCAGAAACCGGAGACTTTTTTTTGGCCTAACCTGCACCAAAACTCGGGATTAAATTCAAATACCACAATCTATATGACTTTTTTTAAACAGCCATCTTTTTTTTTTATAGTCCAGCCATACTTTGCCTCGAATAATTGTTGAAAATCTATCGTCTTTGTATAAAGCATGGTTCATACTTCACGCGAATGCGAAGCGAATTTGACGTCACGAAGCATTCGCTGCGAAATTCGCCCGAGTTGAAAAATGTTCAACTTCGCGAATACTTGCCACGACGTCACAATTTCGCGCGTTTGCTTTCGCTTTCGCGCCGAGTATGAACCGGGCTTAATTCGGCCTTCGCCATGCGAATTTTCTCTGTTAAAGAAAGGCTGGCTTCGGGTATTAAGCAAACAGAATTTTTGATAATAACACAGTATATACTTGTTTACGCTCCATCATACTGTTACTTAACACTCCGCAAAGATATACCTACTTACAACCAATGTGTTAAGCAGATCATGGGTGCAATCCTATACACGGTCAATTTTACATTTTTTCTTAAATATTAACGAGCCCTTTAAGTTTGTTCACACAATTTGAAAACCGTAAGAGACATCTTGGTCTTTAATTTCATTTTTACTCAATGACCACCTCAAGTTTCAGAAGTTGTCATCTACTACACAGATTTAGACAAAAGAAAGTTTTGTCAGGTTTAAAATTCCTGCCGCATGACGTATTGGTATTGATTCAACGTATTATTACGTCATCACTCTACGCGTTCGTCTCACGTGACGCGGGAGAGTGCTCGCGGAAGCCGCGCTTGAAAGACTCATGATACGGAAGCAGAACGTATACATTTCCCCCGTTTTACCCACTGATCTCTATATAAAGACTGGATAGCTAATAAAGAGCCGCACAATGTACGAATTTGACGCCATATTGGTGAGACCGGCTGGTGATCTACAAAGGACAAGTTGTCGTTTTTATAGACAGCATGATTTCTTTTGTAACGTCGCGGTTCACTTGACTTATATTTTGGCCACCACCACTGACCAACTGACCAAGGTTTACTACAATTTTCTAACGTCGTGGTTACTTTTATAATGCCGCAAATCACTTTTTCGGCGTTTTTGAAATAATAATCACTACGGAAATGTGTCCTTTTTAGAACATCATAATATGTGTACACGACCAAAATGCGCGTCAACTGTTGATACAACGCGCGCGTATTTACGCGTAGAACGTTCGTATATACGCGGCCATCTTCGTGAGACCGGGGGCGAATTGGTCCATATGCAAAGTCTACTGTGTGAATGTTGTATGCATATCCGCTATCCAGTCTTTATATAGAGATCAGTGGTTTTACCCCACCTTTTTGCAAAAATGATACTTGTAATAACTTCTCATTCTTAATTTTTTTTGGACGCATGACATATCTCATATTTTCAATTGGAGTGTTTTAAATTAATTGAGAGGTCATAAAACTTTATAGACCGCGATGTGATAAAAAGGCGATAGTTATACGGGCCCCTCTTTAGCTGTGGTAAAAAGTAATTATTTTTACAGTCGATTTTTTATCACTCCAAAACATCTTTTACAACCTTTAGTTGACTTCGCTTACATTTAACGACAATATTTCTTTTCTCCAAATTGGAGAAGTAACATTCGGTAGAAAATGCAATGTTGGTACGCGTTTCATATTTCATGTAATGTGAATCAACGCGGTTTTGCTCATTCACAGTGTGTCACGGTCATCGCAATCTTTATACTCGTGTTGCATTTGAACATCTTCGTCATTGTTTTACCCAAAAACTACCCCCAATTTTTTTAAACCCTGTCCTCTATCCACAATTCTTGGTCGGGTCGCCAATAAAACGCCTGCTTCAATTAGCGCATACTTTGTAATGTACATGTACCTGTACAATAGGCCTACATGTCTACACGTATTGTACACTGGAATGCGTATTATGTGCCGGGGAGGAGGTGGGTGGGGTGGGATTGGAACCCTTGCGTATGCCTTGCGTGCATGGTGGGAGAGGGAGTCTACAACGTCGGCATTTCGCGCGCACATACTTTGTGGACTGTTTGCTGTTATTTTGAGTGTTTTTTTTCACTATGGCCCGTAGTACAAAAAAAAATACACTAAAAGGGTAATTAACTTCCACTCTATTTAAGAGCCTTATGGCGGTAGCTCGTTTCAAATGGTCTTTTAGAGTGAAGTTTGCATCTTTTAAAGCTAATTTTCACCGTGGTCCATTAGTGAAAATCCACTCAAAAAGAGTATTTAATTTCCACTCTTAAAGAGCCATATGGGGACAAGTCCGAGTGTTTTTCCCCACTGTTTTACATTTAGAGAGCATGTTACCTTGTACCAAATCGGATTCAACTCTTCCTTTGGTTCAACTGCAATACGTTTATAATAATAATAATGGACGCTGTTCAAGCGGGACACTACAAAAGACACCAAATCGTAGACCTAATCAGGTGTGTCGCCCCAAAGAAAAGTTAAGCAACAAGTGTCGCCCTAATAGGGGTGCATGCGTTTAAAAATAATAACAATAATACGGCATTTCTATAGCGTCATTCTTTCTAGATCATGGCGTTCAATCAGGGGTTCGCGACTAGACTAGTTAGTGTTTGGTACAAATATGTTTGCATAGGGAACGTGGACAGGCAAGACCTGAAATTCGCAAAGTAAAGAGCAATAAATTGCTGACTAAAATTCCGCGCGATGAATTTGCATTCTGGCCAATCAGCGCGTCGTTGGTAATTATTAGGTCATTTGGTTGGATGTGACGTCGCCCTGAAACCTTTTCATAATTTGCATAAATTGACATATTTCTGAGTGCAATTCCGCCTATGTAAATGTTTACCACCTCACAATGTGCTGATTATTGTGTGTCTGTTTTCAGCATGTGCTTCTGTACAATAAGAAGCTCAGGTTTGATCGATGTTGAATCGAGATATTGGGTCGTATTAATAAAAACTAGCATCTGTTTTTTGTACAAATGTTTAAGCGTTTACTAGCATCTGTATGGAAAAAACGAAGCCAACGCTTTTACTAAAAAGTATTGGTTAAAATGTGAAATTATTTCCTTTTTACATTTTAGCTTTTGCTCGACAATAATGTGTTTACTTCGCTTCGTATGAATAAAAATGAGTAAATGCTTCAGATGTCAAGTATTTACTGGTCATTTTTCAAGGCTGGGTTGGAGCTAAATTAAAAGTATAAAGCAAATACTGCTGCGTAAAAATGGGTCATATGTATAAAAACTAGCAAATGCTGGGAAGCTTAAGCAAAAAGTAAAAGCATTTACTTTGGAGTTCAAGCATTAAGGAAAAGCAAATGCTTGATTCCGTGTGAACAAAAGTTTTCCTTTACTGTTTAGCATTTACTAGTAAGAAAACAGGTGGCAAATGCTTCTTACCGTTGGATTATTTTCATGCACGAATGGTTGTCAACAATAGGGTATCTTTTGTGTGTAAGAACTGCCACACACACACACGGGGGGGGGGGGGGGGTTACACGTAGGGTAATAGTGCAAATCAAGGTGATGCATACAGTATATAAACATGTAGAAGTACATTATTTGATCCTCAAATCCAGCAAAAATCGTGACTCGCCATTTGCAGAATACAGAACTTTCATCATTCATGAAATTTGTATTAGTCCACAGTGTCCTGTAGACGTCACAATTGAATAAAAAAATCACAGACACGTGTTAAAGCTGGTAAAATTATACCAAAATTCAATACACAAATTGGAGTTTTGTTTATTGAAGTATTAACAAAAAAATAGTTTGTAAAGATTGCTGATCTAATAAACTAAAACAATGATTTCATTTTGTTCAGTCCCCAGGGTGCCATTGGATAAAAGTTATCCTTAATCATTTTATGCCGCAATGAATATTACACTAACACTTCTCATATAGTGAACAAATTGCCAAATTGTCAATTCTTCTAGTAATGAAATTAATAATTAAAAAAAAAAACATTTAAATTTCGCATAAATTGTATTCAAAGTACAGTGTATGGTATTATATGTAGCTTATTAACATTTTGTGTTGATTTTGGGTTATTGATATTAATAAATGCAGCAGTTTTTTTCGCAGAAGTATTTGCTTTATATTTTCAAGGTTGCTCCAACCCAGCCTTGAAAAATGACAAGTAAATACTTGAAATTTGAAGCATTTACTCCTTTTTATTCATACAAAATGAATTAAACACTTCTAGTCTAGCAAAAGCTAACAAGTCAAAAGTAAATACGTTTAGCTTTAGCAAAAGCTTTCAGTTCCAGTAAAAGTGTTTGCTTCATTTTTATTCATACAAATGCAAGTAAATGCTTAACTTTAGGTAGTAAAAGCAAATGCTAGTTTTTATACATACGACCCAATGTCGTTAAGGAATGCAGTTTGCGGTAGATTAGTGTACTGATGTTGTTGACCGTTGCTGTAATTCTGTGTTTGGAATTCAATTCAGATACAGCATCTGTGTTACAAGGACATTGCAATAACTGTAATACTCTGTTTGATTCTTTGTCTCAGCAGGGGCGTAAATCCCAGGGGGATGGGGGTATATATCCACTTTTTGACCCGGGGGGGGGGGGGATTGGGCTATTGAATCATCACTCCCACTTCAGTTTCTTTATGAGAAACCAAACAATTGCGGATTTTGAGGTATTTATCGAGCTTCTCAACCACCAAAATGTATTTAATAGCACTGAATTATGGAGAAAAACTGCAAAAGCTTAACATGCGGCGTTTTGATATAAGCGCATTGATGGGTCATCCCCCCCCCCCACTCGCCGTCACAGATTAACGCCACTGTGTCTTATGAACTGAAAATCATTCATTCGGCCTTGGCAGTGCGTGATTTCTGCGAATGCTGCTGGACTTAGGTTACAAAAGGGATATGAACTGCCAATTAGCTTCAGGGGAATTATCGATAAAAACACAATACTTGTTTACGCTCCCACAAACTGCTACTGTTGTCTGTTTTCAACAGTCGGTATGGTTCTTTGCCTCAGGAATTTTCTGTATAGTTCAGCGTTTCCTATTTCTTTACCCACAGACCGAATTTTTGTATTTTGTTCCAACAGACCGTAGTCTATGCTGAAAACTGATTGCTGTGCATTTACATCTCCAGGCGAAAGTTGGAGTCGGGTAGTCGCCTACTGACGCACAACATTTCACGAAACACAACACAGGATTGTTAACCCAAAGACACGTGATAACCAATTAACTAAACAAAAGGTACAGCCGGATAAGCTGAACAAAACAAAACCTAAACGAAGAAGACAATAAGTTCACCATCTGCTCTTTTATTAAGTAGATCTCTTCAAGCACAGTGTTCATTTACCTTGTCTCATCAGGGTCCAGACGATTACAGGACCGAGTTCAGCACAAAGGTAGATTCCTCCGAGCACATTTTACTCCCACCAAACAAAAAAACAGAAGTAAACACAATCGAAACAGGAATGTGGACTGCGACTATACTTAAAATCGGATTGGTATTTCAGTTCTAAATGAAAGAAGCATGTAATAACAATATGCACTCCACATTCATTATTTCGACGTAAATAACCGTTATATGTACAGTAAACGGGTGTATTTATCATCTGCAGGGATTTTGTGTGTGTCAATACTGGGCAGTCGGTAGGGGAAACAACAGCCTCAAAGTTCAACAAGTGGGTTGGGGGATGGACACCACCACACTATAGATGGCGCTGTTTAGTGATGTGAGTATGGACACATAATAATCAATAATCTGGGCATTTACGCCCATAATGTGTAATTTCCGCAAAAGGGTGTTGCACTTGTTAGCAATATCTTACAGCTATATTGGAATAATAATGTGCAAATTGAGGTAGATTGAGTGAAAAGGCGTACGCACTTGGATATATTTTTTTTGTGGGCGGGACACGCCATTTGCCTCCCCGAGGCTACCCCACCCCACTCTCCCAGGATCGCCGCCAGTGGTGGTATCCTTGTACTTTCACTTTCCCTCACCGTTTGTGTTGAGGTTATTTTGTTGTTTTTGTTTCCTCATGTGAAATACATAAAAGGGATCGATTGGCAAATTTTCGACAGACACGACCAGCAGTGTACGGTAATTAAAAGATAGAGCGGTTCAATGTCTTCAGCCCCTGTCTATTCGGGGCCCCCCCCTCCCCCCTCCCCCCCCCTGCACCTCTCTGATAATTTGTGGATCAAACAAGCGTTTTTTAATTTTTGGAATCAGTGGCCAAACCCAAATAAGTGTCCGTCCAGAAAATCAGCCACCCGAAGTCAGCTCCTGACTCCATACACACGATTACCCCTAAATTCTGCAGTTGACAAAGTTTGGTTAACTGTTCCCATTAGCAATAATGTGCTATGATACTGTGTCGCTATTTGTTGATCCAATGATTCTTTCGATGTCATCCAAGAAGGATGACAATTGTATAGCTAACCTAGGCGACAAAGGACACTTTTTGATAATTATTGCCTGAATGACAATAGTTGCCATTCGAAATGCACAAATGATTTGCAACCAATACAATTTTCATGCGTTTATTTTTTTATTCTACGATAATTGAATTAAAATAAGAGCAAACATGCGATAACAGCAACAAATATAATAATTAATCAAAAACAAACCAAAACCCTACAACCCCTAAAAGTTTTCAATCAAATTCATTGGTAATTTGCCGGTGGGTACATTTAAGCAACGGAAATCTGTTGCTAATTTCAATTCTGGTGATCCAGAGTTGCAAGTGTCGATGATTATTATTTTAAATATAAGGGTGCGCGATGGTGAAGTGACAGGGTTTTTTTTTTTTTTTTTTTTAAATATAATTCATAAAACTATTTGTAATCTCCATTGCAGACCATCTAATCTATTGGAAACAGCTGTGAGGCTGTTCATTTCCAGCAACAATCACAAGTTGATTTTACATTTCGTTCCATTTTTTTTTAATGCAACTTGGTTATCCAGCGCTAGCTTTCTACATCATGTAAATTCAATCAGGACTTGTGTTCTTGTCACTCAATCAATTTGTATTTATAATCAAGTTCATCATAATGTAAGTAATCTGGTTTTAGTTCACTTAGATCACAAAAAATACCAATACAACTCCCTAGCCAATAAGTAAAATTTGACAAGAGAATGAAATTAAAATGACACATTTGAACACTAAAACGACAACAGAGCAATTTTGTGCTAATGACACAGTGACTGAGCTTAAAATAATCAGTGTCCAGTAGAGTAAAAACTTGCAACTGATTTTGGAGCCGGTAATATATGGAGTCTGATTTTGAATGGAAAGTTTCGTTGTGCATTGCAGCTCTGAAAATCATTCCCAAATTACGCAGTTCGTTGGTTCCTTCAACTTTGGGGGGTGTGCGGCGAGTGCGACTTAAACGTATAGTCCTAAGCCAGCAGACTAGTTCATGGATGCTTATGATCTTTGCTATTTTTTTCACTATTAAACTGGACACCTAGTTAGACGAGCAAAAGCTAAGTACTTAATGTTAAACTTGAAAGCATGCAGGTTCTTAAACACTTTGTGCCACGAAAATGCGAAGTGCAAACGATATTTGTTTTCACCGTGTAGTTGGCCAGCATTCTACGCAATGAAAATCAACCATTAAGTTTGCAAGTGATACTGTTTGTGAGTGTCCGTTGAGTAATAATGTTTGGCGATCATAGCCGATAACATCGACTTGGTATCAATCATGAGGGCTCCGGGTTTAATGTGGCAAATCGCATCTCCGTGGTCGTCCATTGTGTGGCCCATTTATTTAGTAGTGGTCATCTTGCACAAGTAGGAGAACGATTGGCCGCATTCGATGTCATTCCATGCGTTGTCCCCATCCTCCCGCATGTGAACACAGTGCTCATTACCACTGTGGTTGTCGGGTTGGTCATCGGCCCATCCGGTGTAGCTGGGCGCTGATCGATCTGTCCAGATGTAGTTCCCTTCCCCTGCCAAGTCGTTGAAGCCGATCCACAGGCCGCCTGATGTCGTTCCACGGGCCGACTTCCACAGCGTGAGGAGAAGATTATTCTCGCCGGCGCTGGCTATGGACGCCAGGTGGCCCTGGCCGACTTGAGTGAACTGCTGGCAGTGCTTCTCAGCTTCATCGTAGGTCTTGCCAATGCCGAACAAACGGTAGCAGTTGCCATTGTAGAAAGTCCTCATCGGTGGACACTTGGGGCATTGTGGTTGACATGCTGCGGCAATGTCTACTCCGAGACCAACCATCAGAGCCACATAGAATTCGAATATAAGCCATGTCGTTGAAAATCGGTCAGCCTATTTTATCGGCGAAGATCACAAGCCAATCTGCAGGTTCAGACTGAGGATGCAGGAAGAGATGCTGCTGATTTTGAACAACCCGTTGGAATGCAGTCTTGGAATATATATATAATATAACATATAAATGGAGCATTTATAAAGCGCTTTTAACAAAGATCAAAGCGCTGTACAAAACTACAAAACTAAAAATCTACAAATAAACAAGGCAAAAACAAAAACAAAACAAAAAATTAATTTAAGAATACACGCCTAAAATCTGTAAGGCCGCTTTGACGTCAGATGTGACGTTGAGTTCTGTGATTGGCTGCTGTTGGAAGCTAGGCTGTATACACGCAGGCGCAGCGAACGGATGTAATAGTTCAGCTGATGTGGCAATTAATTGTGCAACAATCGCCTCTAGTCCATGCGACTTTGACGAATCCTTGGGCTTGTTCTATCGTGCCCTCGACCGACAAATGGCGTTATTGAGAATATAGCGCTTGTAATTATTGGTGCTTGAGTAAGGCATTTTTTCCGGCAGGAATATTCCCACACCCCCGAATTCGGTATGAAATTAAAAAATCTGCATCTGTGCTATAAAAGTAATGTTAGTTATCTTTTCATCAGTCCACCTGACACTTTGCCTTGGGTAATTAAAATCATTAATTCGGCCTTGGCGAGTGTGTGTTTCCTGAATAAAGAAAGTGGCTGTGGCTGGATTTAGGTAACAAAAGGGATTTTACTTGCCAATTAGCTTCAGAGGAATTGTCGATAAAAACACAACACTTGTATATGCACCTATAGACTGTTATTTCCGTCTGTTTTCAACAGCCCGTATGGTTCTTTCCCTCAGGAGTTGACTTTATATATCTCTGCTTTGATGTTGCTTTGATTTTGCGCTTTGTTTCCGTTTTGTCTACTCCATGTGGTCCTGGACTGTAGTTTACAAAGGATGAATGAACTGCCAATTGACTTCAGAGGAAATATCAATAAAAAGTACTTTTACCTTCCTACAGACAGTAACTTCCATTCATATTCAACAAACTGTAGTCTATGCTGTTTTGCCTCAGTAATGATAACTCATGACTTTCACTCATTTTGTAGTTGTTTGCATACAGTTTCATTCTGGAATGTCTTTTATATCATGGATTAAAGAAATAGCCATTCAGCTGATTGGGAACAACTATAGACACCAGTGCCGATTCGACAAAGTTTGGACATCATGTGACTATGGAGGCCTCTGTTCAAAGTTCAAAGACGTACGTATGCACACATAATTATACACAGTATATATGCGCATGTAGGCCCATTATGTTTGAGGTGATGTGCAATGAATATCTTACATCTCGGGATCTCGGGATCCCCGACCATGGTATCCATTTACTAGTTTCTCTTGTTTCTCTTTTTGTTTGTGGTGAAGTTATTTTGTTGTTTTTGTCCTCTAATAAGATAACAAAGAAATAAAGTGATAAATTAGCTTATTTCGAGCCAAGATTAATGATATCGCTTTTTAACACCCCATTGAAATGCAGTGTTCGTAGCAACCTCTAAAATCTACAGGACCGCCTTGGCGTCAAGCGTGACGTCGAGTGTTGTGATTGGCTGTTGGTGGAGGCTAGACTGTGACGTGCACGCTGGCGTGGCGAACGGATATAGTTCGTCAGATGTGACAGTTTATTAGGCAACAACCGCCTCTTGGCCTCGTGATTGTAACCAAACCTTGGGCTTGTTCTATCGTGCCCTTTAATGGCGTGATTTGAAATATAGCGCATGCACCTACTTGTGTGGGAATATGACATCCGACATCCTTTGTCACACACACAGATGCTGCATATGTGTTACAAAGACAGTTTAATTATCTATCTTTGTAACAGTCCAATTGAAACTTTGCCTCGGGTATTGAAAATAATTCATTCGGCGTTGGCAGAGCGCGCTTCCTGTGTTAAAGAAAGCGACCGGATTAAGGTAACAAAAGGGTACAAACTGCCAATCAGCTTCAGAGGAATTATCGATAAAACACAATATGTACGTCGCCATATTAATTATCTATCGTTGCAACAGCGCAACTGAAACTTTGCCTCGGGTATTGAAAATAATTCATTCGGCGTTGGCAGTGCGCGCTTCCTGTGTTAAAGAAAGCGACCGGATTAAGGTAACAAAAGGGATATGAACTGCCAATTAGCTTCAGAGGAATTATCGATAAAAACACAATACGTACGTCGCTACAGTCTGTATGGCTCTTTTCTTCAGGAATTTTCTATTAAATTAAAAATATTTTGGCCTTTTACAGTCACTCAACATATTTCGCCCTTGAATGCGCTACCCGTTTGTTTACTCAACAACGAGCCTGGCTTTTAGGAAACAAAGGATAAATGAAGAGTCAACTTATTTCAGTACAATTATCGATCAAATTTAGCCTCGAACAGACTGTATAATTTCCTTTCATTTTCAACAGACTGTATACCATGCTGATTTTCCTCAATAATGACAAGTCAGCCTTAAACCAAAGAGATGACGTGATATGTAAATTTCAGTAATACGTGGTAAACAATTCAAACTGCCTTCATGGGGAATGTTGCCCTGGCCAAATCTCCAAATTGTATTGGCAAAGTGACACTCGACACCAATGTAACGTTACAGATATACCAAAGTGGGACCCAGCGAGGGTTTTTAAGCAGTGCCTCTCATCTCCACGCCTCATTCTGCAACTGAAAGACAACTTGTAAACATCATGGCTTTCATGCGAGTCTTGTGCTTCGTCCTGTTGGTGGGTTTGGCCGCGGCATGTCAACCACAATGCCCCAAGTGTCCACCGATGTGGACTTTCTACATTGGCAACTGCTACCGTTATTTCGGCACCGCCAAGACCTTCGCTGAAGCAGAGAAGCACTGCAAGGAGTTTACTGAAGTCGGTCAGGGTCACCTGGCGTCCATAACCAGCGCAGAGGAGGATAATCTGCTCTACACTATGTGGATGTCGGTCCGTGGGACAACAGGGAGTGGCCTGTGGATCGGCTTCACTGACGAGGCAGAGGAAGGGAACTTCATCTGGACAGATAGATCAGCGGTCAGCTACACCGGATGGCGCAGTGGCGAACCCAACAACGTTGGTAAGGAGCACTGTACCAACATGCCGAACGGTTGGGATGGCGAATGGAATGACACCAAATGCGGCCATGCGCACGCATACATGTGCAAGATGACCACTGCAAAGTAAATCGACCCCTCAGCGGACGACTACGGAGATGCGTAGAAACATGTTTGCTTAAAGCCGAATAAACCCGAAGCCGATGTCATCAGTCATAATCAGTAATCACCAAGCAGTCTTACCCAACGAACACTCACAGTATGACCTCAAAACCTGAAGCCGATGTCATCTGTCATAGGCCAAATCACCCAGCAGACTTACCAAACGAACACTCACAGTAGCACTTCAAAACCGGAAGCCGATGTCATCATCACCAAGTTTTACCGAAACAAACACTCACATTATCACTTCAAAATTAAGTGGTTAAGTGAAAATGATATCCATAACCTACTTCGCATCTTCGTGGCTTCTGCATTTACAGACCTGCATGCTTTCAAGTTTAACATACAGTAGTTAGCCTTTGCTCGTTTTACCAAGTGTCCAGTTTAATAGTGAAAGGAATATGGACGAAGGTCTCTAGCATCAATGAACTAATCAGCCGGTATACCTAAGCCGCACTACTCGACGCCAAAAACTAAGGAACAAACGAAATGGAATGTGTCTTGGAACTGCAACGCTCAAAATAAACCTTTCAATTCGAAATCCGATTCCTCATGTTACAGACTCAAACATAAATTGCAAGTATGACTTGACTGGACACCTTATTTTAGTTTAAATTCATTTACTCTTGAATTTTTGTTTACACAAATTTCTTGATAATACTGACGTATTGGTGGAGGTATTTTGTTGGTAAATTTTGCTGTCTAAGTACGGTTTAAAAATTTGCTCAGATTTCGATGGACTAATTAAAAGAACCGCGCACGCGTTAGTGACAAGAAAACAACCCCTGGTTCATTTTTCACAATACAAAATTAACCATATAAATTAAGCCCGGTTCATACTTCACGCGAATGCGAAAGCGAAGCGAATTTGACGTCACGAGGCATTTGACGTCACGGGTTGAGTTGAAATATGTTCAACTTTTACGAATTCGCAGTGCGAATACTCCCCATGATGTCACAAATTCGCGTTCGCTTTCGCTTTCGCGCCGAGTATGAACCGGGCTTAACTTCATTCGTTTACAACGAAATGTATAAGCACAGATGCCAGTTTTCGTTGCTCAACGTACCCGCCGACAAATTACCAATGGCGAAAATGTTGAAGTGAATTCTTCAAGATTTGAAATTCTAATCTCTACATTTTCCTGTCATCAGTATGCATGATTGGAGTGTCTCAAAATAGTTTTTTATGTGATTTATTTAACTTATATTTGTTTCTTTTACCCTTTTCCCCATTTTTAAAGTTGTTTGTTTTTGATTGTTTACTTTTTTTTTTTTATCTTGCACGATTAACTTTATTTTACTCCTGAATAATCGTAGATTAAAAACGTCGCATGGCAGATTGTATTGATTGGATTGCATTTAAAAAAAAAATATATTTCTAACCTGAAATGTCGTCACACAGGCAATAATATCAACACGTGCATCATGCATCATGCATCGCGCGCATGGTAACCGTGGTGCATACGCGCGCGTAAGTCTTCACACGATGGTGGTTGCATGTGGTTGAGCGCATGTGTACTGCTGTATGGTTAAAAGCAATCGTAGAACTATTATATGTTGTCCAATCATTGGCTTACATGATGCTGGATCAACGCTGGTTCAGGGGCCATTTATTCGCTTTTTTTAGCCGGTCTTTATATCACCGTTAATGCACCCCCACGTGATCGAGTCTCTACCAGTCAGAAGCCATCAACTCTCAAAGTATTTATTAAACATGGAATAACGGTGTGAGGACCCAGCCTTCGCTGCGTGATAATGACCAGGTTGACCTCAGGAATGTACCATTAATTCTTTTTATGTATTTTGGGCTTGATGTTGCGTTTCCCATTCGTTTACTAAACCAGGCGCGGATCAAGGGGGGGGGGGGCGGGGGCGGGGGGGGGGAGGGGGTCAAACCCCCCCCCTGCTCCGTCAAAACAATTTTTTCCATGAAATTTTTTTTTTGAATCCCCCTGTTCCGACACCTAAGCATGTTTTACTGGTTATAATGTCCACCTTTGCACTAAATACGGACAGCCAGCTTGGTTAGGGGGTATATGTACACTGTTCTGTGATAAAGTGTTAATAATCGACAGATTTGAACAGCGCCCCCATTGATAGTATGGTAGGAGCCCCCCCCCCCGCCCCCCTTCCCCCTATTGATTTTCGGAGGCCAAGTGTCTGGAGAAAAAAAAACGTCTACATTTCAGTTTTTTCGCCGATGACCCCCCCCCCTGCGAAAGTTCCTGGATCCGCCCCTGTTAACAGAGGATGAATGAACTGCAGCTACTTACCTTTAATGGAATTATCAGAAAAAAAGTACTAGAACAGATTGTACAATTATTTTAACAGACATAGGCCTACGCTGATTTGCCTCAGTAATGACAACTCAGTATTAAGTCTTACAACATTTTTAAGTTATATTTGCTCAGCGTTTCAGGAAACGCGAAGAGACATGATTGCCAATTAACTAAACAAAAGGTACAGCCAGAATAACAGAGCAAAGCAAAAACTAAATGGAGAAGACAAAAATTTTACCATCTGTTTTTTAATATGCAGATCTGTACCTATACGTGTTCAGCAGGGTCGATAACAGGTCAGAGTCTAGCACAAAGGTAGAATCACCTGCTCCGTCAAAACAATTTTTTCCATGAATTTTTTTTTTTGAATCCCCCTGTTCCGACACCTAAGCATGTTTTACTGGTTATAATGTCCACCTTTGCACTAAATACGGACAGCCAGCTTGGTTAGGGGGTATATGTACACTGTTCTGTGATAAAGTGTTAATAATCGACAGATTTGAACAGCGCCCCCATTGATAGTATGGTAGGAGCCCCCCCCCCCGCCCCCCTTCCCCCTATTGATTTTCGGAGGCCAAGTGTCTGGAGAAAAAAAAACGTCTACATTTCAGTTTTTTCGCCGATGACCCCCCCCCCCTGCGAAAGTTCCTGGATCCGCCCCTGTTAACAGAGGATGAATGAACTGCAGCTACTTACCTTTAATGGAATTATCAGAAAAAAAGTACTAGAACAGATTGTACAATTATTTTAACAGACATAGGCCTACGCTGATTTGCCTCAGTAATGACAACTCAGTATTAAGTCTTACAACATTTTAAAGTTATATTTGCTCAGCGTTTCAGGAAACGCGAAGAGACATGATTGCCAATTAACTAAACAAAAGGTACAGCCAGAATAACAGAGCAAAGCAAAAACTAAATGGAGAAGACAAAAATTTTACCATCTGTTTTTTAATATGCAGATCTGTACCTATACGTGTTCAGCAGGGTCGATAACAGGTCAGAGTCTAGCACAAAGGTAGAATCACCTGCTCCGTCAAAACAATTTTTTCCATGAATTTTTTTTTTTGAATCCCCCTGTTCCGACACCTAAGCATGTTTTACTGGTTATAATGTCCACCTTTGCACTAAATACGGACAGCCAGCTTGGTTAGGGGGTATATGTACACTGTTCTGTGATAAAGTGTTAATAATCGACAGATTTGAACAGCGCCCCCATTGATAGTATGGTAGGAGCCCCCCCCCCCCCCCGCCCCCCTTCCCCCTATTGATTTTCGGAGGCCAAGTGTCTGGAGAAAAAAAAACGTCTACATTTCAGTTTTTTCGCCGATGAACCCCCCCCCCCTGCGAAAGTTCCTGGATCCGCCCCTGTTAACAGAGGATGAATGAACTGCAGCTACTTACCTTTAATGGAATTATCAGAAAAAAAGTACTAGAACAGATTGTACAATTATTTTAACAGACATAGGCCTACGCTGATTTGCCTCAGTAATGACAACTCAGTATTAAGTCTTACAACATTTTTAAGTTATATTTGCTCAGCGTTTCAGGAAACGCGAAGAGACATGATTGCCAATTAACTAAACAAAAGGTACAGCCAGAATAACAGAGCAAAGCAAAAACTAAATGGAGAAGACAAAAATTTTACCATCTGTTTTTTAATATGCAGATCTGTACCTATACGTGTTCAGCAGGGTCGATAACAGGTCAGAGTCTAGCACAAAGGTAGAATCACAAAGCACACAATCGACACTTGTGCTATCTTCTACGAAACGAAATACGTAAATTCGATTGATATTTAAGTTTGAATGAAAGAAATAATAAGTCAAGTATCTAATTGCGATATAAGCTTACTTACATTATCTCAACGTGATTATTTTTTTGTGCCTTTAAAACAAAACATCTTCCAATAATGTAACTTAGGAATCAATTGCTAATTAAAGCGCGTGCACGTACGGCGTATTCACCCGTGTATATTGGTACTTACGGGGTACTGAGAACAAAGAATAACAATAGGGACAATAGTACCCCGCAAGTTGATCTTTAGAAATCTTGGTACCCCACATCAGAAAGGCCATAGCGTAAGGGATTTCAGTGGCGAACAATGATAAGGAATAAGAAGTAGGAAATAAGAAGTAGGGAATAAGAAGTGGGCAATATTGGTACCCCAAGTGGTACGCGAGTATGTGAGTTTGTTTCTGAATCAATAGGGGACGTTGAACAATAGAGGACAACAGGGTCCCCATATTCCCGAGAGGTCCCCAATTTGGATTCGTGTACAAAACATATGGGAGGTCTTCTTAAAAAGTACAAACAACAGAAGAACAATAGGGGGTCGCCGAATGTAGGCAAATACACACGTAGCATACGGCTTGCCCCGAACCACGTGATATGGTAACAGTTTCTTTGATCGGGAGAATGCAAAGTTTAAACTTGCAAAGCATTGCGTTAAGTCAGCGTCCAAGATTATATTCAAATTTAACTCGCACATGGCTTATTACACAGTAACATGAAGTGTCTAATCTAAACACCAAACCAGCTGATGACACCTTTTCATACCAAAGCGAAAATGAAGATTTCGTTTCATCCTTTATCAAACAGTATCTTGTTCGGCTTCTAACCCAACCTAAAATGTCATAATTTTGTGTCAGTTGATGATATCTGTTATTCCTCCTACACATAACACGGTCCAGAGGTCCCTTGGTCAATCGTCACTCCACATATCTGCTGCCGGCCTGGGATGATTCAGCCTTAATGCCTTACAGTATGGAGTTGTATTCCTTTTTTTCGGAAAATTGTTTATATTATGGACAATTGAAAAAAAAAATATTCAGCTTATAAATTATTTGGCTGGCGTTTTAATACTAACAAATAGGGTAGAAAAGCTATGAAATTCTCTCCCAGAATTTTTAATTGAAACATTTTCTTTTTCAGCTTTTAATTACTATGTTCATTTTTTGAATGGTTATGTTATAACAAATATTACTAAAGACCTAAATTTACTCAAACTTTGTGCAGAATGAACAGAGCCTGCAAGTACAAGGTCGCACGTGGGGAGCTTCTGTATAAGCCTAGCGCCACCCGTCTGTGAACATTTTCAACTGCGTTGCCATTCACCTGTTATAGACAAGTTCGGCGGCAGCCATTTTTTGCGGTGGAGCAAGGCTCGCGCGAGTCACGCTATGCTAGAAAGGTCCCTTCAACCAATAGGAATACCACGAATGCGCGTGCCCTTGGCTCTTGAACTCTTGAATTGGAAAGCTCAGTTGCACAAATTCCAGAATTTGCAATAATTTTCCGTTCTATATTTCTTAATAAAATCACCCGGGAAGGGATCTTGGTGAAATTGCTACTTGCAATTTATGGAAACGGATATATTGCCGAGCATTTCTGAAAATTGTGGCGGTCATTAAGGTGAAACTGATAGCAACATGATAGAAAGCCAAAATGTCTGTTATGGTGTGAATAACCTAAATCTACCCATTTATAATTACGAAAAAACATATTGACTATTGATAGGACTCGACCCACGATCTGCTCAAACCATGCACCACTGAATCTAGAACCCGTCAATTAAATAATAGAATAAATGTGTGTTTGGGATGTATTATAACGCTCAGTTTAAGACCGGTTGGGGTCGGATGGGTGATCATTACGCAAGGCGAAGCTGAGGGTATGTATCACCCATCCATATACCGACCAAACACATATTTATTCCCAATCATAAATACCTTTTCGTTCAAAAAAAACCCCAAATCTTTTTGGTCCCAAGATCAAAACAAGTCAAAAACTAGACGTTGCGAACCATTTTTTTTCAAAAATTTTACTTCATGTTTTATGAAACACCCCTCTGACTTGGATATGAAATGTCCCTCTACAACTCTTTTCCTTATAAGAAGATCGGCGTGCGCATCGCGCGTACTGCGCGATGTCGCACAAAACGCAGGTGGACTGGTGAAGTGTGAATTTCGGACTATGAAATACTGATTCACTGGTAGTATTGCGCATGCATACGAGAGGAGAATGAACGTTCATCCAATGAAACGTTAAAATAGGCACCGGATTTCATGGGAGTCCAAATTTCATGTGACAAATGTGTTGAAGACCAACCAGCCATGTCTTTATCATCCGTTTAAGACCGGCCACGTGACGGGCTCTCGACCAATAGGAATTGGTTTACTGTAATAGGTATTTATGAATTAACGATAACAAATGATATACTTCTCGGGTTTTTTTCATTGCACTAAATATACTTTAATTTTATTTGAATTACACTAAATAAACGTACTTGGTTATGAAATGAATTCATCCACCACCGCTAAAGGATCAAACAAAACGAGGTATAAATTGGTAAACTTAAAACCTTGTGACACAAAGGACAGGGAATAACGTCACTGAGAGTTTATCGCGATGCATTCTGTGAGCCAGTGATCATGTCAGTTATATCCATAATATTTCCTTGAAGTATGTGCTCTTTATTAACATGGTACATTTCTGGGTTTTATGCATGTCAGCTTACACTTGATGCAAAACATGATTGTGTGTTTTGTTTTCATGTTTTCAAATCATGCAACGAATTTAGGTTCAATTGGTTAAAAACACGGTTCTTTACGACCCTTCAAATGCACACAACTAAACCAGAACGACCAACTACTTTCCATGATTGCGACATTAAAACTCAAAATACAACGCAATAAACACAGGCTGTCGTCGTTACGTTGTAAGCTATATTCGTATCCATTAAACATCATTATAAAAGCCTAATCTAAATACCACACTAGCCAATGACACCCATTTTAGCATTAAAAAAAGAAAAAGTATATTTTGTTGCACACCCCATCACCGCTATACTATAAAGCGTAAAGATGTAATTTCCTCATCTGCTTAACATAAGCAGTACACAATTCTGTATTTGTTTTTAAAAGTCTCTTTGATTTGCTTTGCTCTGTTTACATTGTGTATGTCATTCTTGATGGTATCTGTCACTCCTCCTACTCATAACACGGTCCTGGGGTCCCTTGCTCAACCGTGACTTCACATATCTGCTGCTTGGTTACCCTCAGCAATGGGATATCCACGGTGACAAACTTGGCCGTCAAGGGAGGGTCGCACACGAAGTCCACGGTAGACCGGCGTACTTCGGCTTGCTGGGCGGTCAGAGCCGAGCCGCATATACCGTTGTTAAGCCCGGTAGAGCTTGTCCCGGCACGTACCACGGCACCGGTCAAACGAGCACCTAGAATAAGAGTACATAGAACACTAATAAATACTTTTCGAATCAAATTGTAAACAACAGTTTTCATCACGAAATAGCTTTATTTTATTCCCCAAAAGTCTCTTTATTTAAGCATACACCTAAAAGCATCAGTCCTCCGACATTAAGACAACACACACTAGATTAAAGCACAATTATACATGAATTAAGATTAAATTTTACCGAGTGAAAATGTTATCCCTTACCGGTGCAATCACCGCGCTTGTGTACGACGACTTTCTTGATGCAGTATTCAGTGACGAGGTTTACTTGCATGAACGAGGTTTGTGTTTCAACTTCAACCCCTAAAGAAATACAGGGAAGGATGAGTGGCACAGTGTAATATTTGATATCTGAAAATAATAATACTGTTCATCGCAGCTTCAAGGGTGGATCCAGACCACAATTTTTGGGGTACCAACAATTTGGTACCCCAAGAAGTGGGCCCCAAAAATTGTTGGATACTAGATGCTCTGTGTTGCTATCTGAGGCAATTTCTGACCACTTTAACCAATTGTTGTTGGAGTAAAAGATGGTGGTGTACCAGTGCCTACCATTGCGACGTCACTAAAGAAAAAAAAATGAATTTTTCCCCTCTCCCTGGATCTTCCCTTGAGGTTTTGTCTTGAATAACTGAGCAAGATGGTTCAAGATGAAAATATTTCAATCATACTGATCTTGTTTGTTTAAGAGCAGTGAGCCTTTATTCAGTGCCTGCTAGTCGACGAGTGTCGGCAAGTCCTCTCGATCAACCGAGGTTGGCTGTACCGCTGATTACCAACAGCCTCGCACACTTGCTGGACTCGCTTCACTCGATCGCTTGACTTGGAAATTAGTGCGCGAGCGCAACATTCTTATCAAATCAACCTACACAAATAATGTGAAATAAACGAACTCAGACCTGTGGAGGTGGAGTGTAGCTGAGGACGGGCATCTGATGCTCCTTGGAGTTGCTCTGTCATTAAAAAACATCGAAAACATGAATAACGGTCAATTACTTTATCTGAACTCCGTAGGCATTCGTGCAAGGAAAAGACCGGGAAAGTCAAACAATCCCTCCGAAATCCATCAAAATGCTGTAGGAGCCATATTTATGACACCTTGAAGTTCATTCTCTCAAAGGACCTCAAGCTTCAAGTTCAATAGTTTAAGTGGGCGCTACACCACTCATGACCTTGATTTGACAAAAGAAACCCGGGCTGTTGAAATGAATGGCAAGTGGATACATCAAAACTAATCAATACCGCACAGACAACAGAGGTCTGAAGATACGGATGAGTTTGGACAATTATCCAGGGAAGTTTCCCATTGAGTAAAATAATTACAATTGATCGAAGTTGCTGACGTTGGTGTTCTTGTGGCCACACAATCTACCCTATTGGATGTGCCCTCGACCCTGCTATATCATATAACAAAAAAATATGAAGGTCCTGTCTAAGGTAGGGAGTTTGATCAGACTCAGCGGAAGTGGTTTCGATTCAAGTATTAACTCACCGATTTCACAGAGACGTCCAGTGTATCCTGCCGCACACTTGCAAGAGACTTTAGCGACACCATCCACGCACTCGGCACCATTCTGACACGGATCGCTGCTACACTCGTCAATGTCTTAAGAAAAGAGAAACGGATGTCTGTACGCACAATCACTTGTACAAACAAGTTTTATATTTACAGAACCTGAATATTATTCTTACTTCGTGAGCTTGGTACCGGCTTAAACACTTGGACATTGTACAAACAAACCACAGCATGGCTATATTTTTGTAGAAGATTTGTAAGTCTTCGTCCGCTTCGGGACACTTATTTCGAGTCATGATCAAAACAAGTTTGAAATTTACCAATTTCGCACACAGTTCCTGCGTAGCCTGGGGAGCATACGCACTTAAAACCATCTACCCCATAGTTTATACAGACACCGTTCTTGCAAGGATTGGTTGTGCATCCATTGGATTCTTCTATAACAGGTTCAACCGGTTCAACAGGTGTAACAGGCTGTACAGGCTTAGCTGGCTCTTGTAAAGCTGTTGAAAAAGAGAGTCAAAGGAAATCATTTATACTTGGTTCAATATTATTATTTTGAGAATCTAATGATAGTATCCTGACGAAGGTAGGGGTAAAACGTATTTTTGATTTATAAATGGACTTGATGTCTCTCTTTATTTGTTTAAGACTGAGTATTAAAAATGGTATAAAGAAAACTAACAGGTGTCCGAAGGAGAAAACAGTTTGTTTATAAAAACCACACAATTTTAAAATCGTTATAAGAAAACAAATAAATTCCATGAAGAGCAAGGGAGAACAGAGTTTCATGTAGTATCCAGAAGAACGAAAGAGGGCGTACGTTGTACGGCAATGACAAAGAAATATTATTAAAACTGTATAAATTTAATGAAGCCGTTTTTACCAGTTTCGCAGAGAGGTCCGATAAACCCTGTAGCACACTTGCATGAAACTTCGTTGACACCATCCGCGCACTCGGCACCATTCTGGCATGGATCACTGACACACTCGTCAATATCTAAAGAAAAGAGAAAAGGAAGACAAAGCTAAAATGATCAAGATTGTACTAGTGAAAACTAGTATGAAACAAGTCGTGAGAAAACAAAGAAAATAGTCAAGATTGGGTGGGCATTTTGCCCATCTGCACCTATACGGTTTCATGCAACTAACCGGTTTCACAGAGAGTTCCAGTAAACCCTGCAGCACACGTGCATGAAACTTCACTGATACCGTCCACGCACTCGGCACCATTCTGGCATGGATCTCTCTCACACTCGTCGATATCTGAAGATTAGATACAAGTATGACAATGATTTGGCAAGTAAGGGGCAACAGAAACAGATTAAGAAGGTGGGGCGAGGCAGGAGGAATCTACCTATACGATTTTATTATTCTAACCGGTTTCGCAGAGAGGCCCAGTAAATCCTGCAGCACATGTGCATGCAAACTCGTTGACACCATCCACGCACTCGGCACCATTCTGACATGGATCGCTGCCACACTCGTCGACACCTACAGATTATAAAAAAGGAAAACAAGGATAAAACAAGGGAAAACAACGGAAGATAATCAAGGTGGCTCGAGGTATCAACCTGTACGAATTTATTCAACTAACCAGTTTCACACATAGGTCCAGTAAATCCTGCAGCACATGTACAGGAGAATTCGTTGATACCATCCACGCACTCGGCACCGTTCTGACAGGGATCGCTGCCACACTCGTCGACACCTAAAGATTATAGAAAAGGAAAACAAGGATAAAACAAGGGAAAACAACGGAAGATAATCAAGGTGGCTCGAGGAATCAACCTGTACGAATTTATTCAACTAACCAGTTTCACACATAGGTCCAGCAAATCCTGCAGCACATGTACAGGAGAACTCGTTGATACCATCCACGCACTCGGCACCATTCTGGCATGGATCGCTGCCACACTCGTCGACACCTAAAGATTATAGAAAAGGAAAACAAGGATAAAACAAGGGAAAACAACGGAAGATAATCAAGGTGGCTCGAGGAATCAACCTGTACGAATTTATTCAACTAACCAGTTTCACACATAGGTCCAGCAAATCCTGCAGCACATGAACAGGAGAACTCGTTGTCACCATCCACGCACTCGGCACCATTCTGACATGGATCGCTGCCACACTCGTTCATATCTGCGAAAGGAAAAAGACATCATGCCGGTATCATAACATTACCTTCACAGCCAGGGGTCATTGTCTTCATTGAGTAAAGATGAGCGTGAAATTGCAATGTTATTTGACCGAAATATATGGATATGGCTTTTCTGGTAGGACTACTTACTGGTCTCGCATAAGGTTCCCTCGTAGCCTGGGGAGCAGTCACAGCTGAAACCGTTCACTTCGTCATGACAAACGCCATTCTGGCAAGGGCTGCTGCTACACTCGTCAATATCTGTGCACGGGGATTTAATGAGACAATGCTTGTGAAAGTGATTTGATAAACTGCATAGGAAACTTTCAGACACAATGTGGATAGATGCAGACTTACCTGTAATCCTGCATGATGTTCTTAGTAAGGGAAGTTGTTATAACGACTACTTCATAAGCATGTCTTTTCCTGCATTATGGCTGCAGGACATGTACATGTACACCTAGTCTTTAACACAGTAAGGTCATTCATAAGTGCTATACAAATGCACCGAATAGTGCTCAACATCAGTTGCCGAGACCTTGTGCAGGTAATTGTGTCATGTATGGAGAATTTTCTCCAGGTTGGGGACATGTTGGCGTGAAAGAGTATGCTTTTAGCTGGACTAAGTTGTCAATGGGACAAATGTCCTAATGCTAGCGAGTTGGCTTATAGCACAAAAAAATCTCTACACATGTTGAGGAACTGTTGTCAACCCTCACCGTGGTCGTTTGAGTAGAAGTAGTAGTAGAAGTAGTAGTAGTAGTAGTAGTAGTAACAGCATCATCATCCGCAGCAGAAACAGCCCCCCCCCAAAAAAAAAATACAGTAGGTAAAAGGAACATAACAAAAAGAGGAACAGTTGACGGTCACCACATTGATGAGTTCAACTAACCGGTTTCGCATAGGGGTCCAGTAAATCCAGGAGCACACGTGCATGAAAACTCATTGACACCATCGACGCACTCGGCAGCATTATGGCATGGATCGCTGGCACACTCGTCGATATCTTAGGATTAGAGAAAAGACATCAATGCAGGTATCATAACATTGCCGTCACAGCCAGGGGTTCTTGTCGTCATTCATTGAATAAAGATATGCGAGAAATGGCCATGTTATTTGACAGAAAGATATTCTTTTTCTGGTAGGACTACTTATTGGTCTCGCATAAGGTTCCCTCGTAGCCTGGGGAGCAGTCACAGCTGAAACCGTTCACTTCGTCATGACAAATGCCATTCTGGCAAGGGCTGCTACCACACTTGCCCATATCTGTCCACAGTGATTTAATGAGACAATGCTAGTGTGACTGTGATTTGATAAACTGCATAGGAAACGTTCAGACACAATGTTGATAGATGCAGACTTACCTGTAATCCCGCATGATGTTCTTAGTCAGGGAAGTAGCTATAACGACTACTTCGGTACATGTACACTAACCTTCAACACAGTAAGGTCATTCATGGGTGCTATATACACAAATGCACCGAATAGTGCTCAACATCAGTTGCCGAGACCTTGCGCATGTAATTGTGTCATGTATGGAGAATTTTTTTCCAGGTTGGGGACATGTTGGCGTGAAAGAGTATGCTTGTAGCTGGACTAAGTTTTCATTGGGACATGATATCTTAAGGTAAGACAAAATAAAGATAACGATACAATTATGATTCACAGAAGATTTGACAATCATCGACGTCGGTAAAAACAGAGACAGAAGGCAAACTGTGACATAGACTTTTCTACGCTTGGTTAGCAATCTGCATTTTTGCCAACCACAGGTTGCGAAACTATGGGAGGTCCAACACTTCAAAAATTAAAAAAAAAGAGTTATTACAGATAACCAAAATTTTATTTGATACTTGGCAATACGACATTGTCGACAAACATACAACGTAATTTCTACACATGCCATTTGACTATGTATTGAAAGCGTTATGAGGCCTTTTTTTCTGGAAGAAAAATAGCCAACCCCGGCTTCAATTCATGCGCTTACGGCAGTCCATATTAAATGGTGTCAATGTTTACAAACAAAGAAAGGTCTATACAAAAATTCATGTTTTTAACGAATCCAATATGAATATAGATGCGATTTTTATAACTGAGAGAGAATGACCTGTTGAGGAAAAAACCTGCGATTTATTGGAACAATTTTAAAACAGCAATTGGAATGTGCCCGTTTACTCAATAATAAAACTGGCCGAAATACGAACAGTATAACCAGAACAAAAAAAAAATCTTTTACTTACGGATTTTAAAGTGCATCCTAAATCCTTTTTGATTATCAGGGTTGAAGGAAGATGTCTGGAAGAAGACCGATACCTTGTCGTCATTCACCACAATCGACTCCTTAGGAAGGCCTTGAAGTACCACCTTCTCATCACTCTGAAAGTCCATTGTATCACCGGGCTGGTAGACAAGGTAATTCGATTTGCTAAAATCCATATCTACATCTTCAAATCTTATCTCGATCTTCTCTGCACCAGGAAAGCCGATGATGTAAGGACATCGTTGTTCGATTCCGTGCGGTTCAGGGTACCCCGGCGACTGTATGTAACCCTCATACTGATCGTAGATGTAGCGATCTTCGTCAGAGCTTGGCTCACATTCTATCCCTTGATTGGTTCAAGAAAGATACAAAATATACGTAAATCAGCATACAATTTAAACAAACGTGCAAGATAAGTCGAAAAAGGCCGAATCCCACAGCTTTAATCCCTGAAGTTAATATCGTTACCTTATATGTTTGTTACTATAAATAAATTGAGAAAAATTTGAGATGCAGTGAAGATGATAAGTTGCATCAATAAAAGAAAACAATTCTACCGTTAGTCTCGGCTTATGGCGTTTTAAAGAGGTTGTGGAATGCTCAAAGACATTTCCGTCATTTTTCGGGTATATGTAGCCTAAGGTGTGATGAAATAAAAACGACTATTGTGTCTGTCATGAAATGAGTACAACAGGTACTTTTGAGAGCTGTTTTTCAGGTCCTGTTTCGACCCGAACGTGCAATTTGTGCAAAAGTCGTTGTTGGGGGCAGTAAACAAAACATAGTAAATCGTGACGTAATAAACAGGACTCGTTTAGGCCAAAAAAAAGTCTCCGGTTTCTGGTACGGAGCTTGCCCAAAAAGTGGTGCGGCGACGCGGCTTTTTTTTTTTAAACTTAGTGCAAATATATGAGTCCAGAGAGGCCACATTAAGCTTATTCTCAACCATAACCCCATCTAAAAACACGTTGTGCAGCAGCAGGATTCCAGTCAAACCATTGAGTTTGGCGGTTTTGAGACATCATCTTTCATTGAATTCTTTTTTTCATTTTGCCGACGCGCATGGCTACGGCGACGCGCGCGCATACCAGAAACCGGAGACTTTTTGTTTGGCCTTATAGCACGCTGCATCGGGAGTCCTGTTTATTACGTGACGATTTACACATTATCGTTATTAACAACCCTGGTTAGGCAAACGATATGATTTATAAAATCCACTTTTTTTAAAAGACGGGCCTTCAAAAGGACTTTTCAAAAGGACTTTGCTGGAAGTCGGAGCTTAACAATTATCATCTCACTTACTTATTGATGACTCTTCACAGAATTCGCCATTCTGTCCATCATAACATTCGCAGAATGCTTGTCCATCCGGTTTAGGTACACATTCTGCGCTAATGCACGGGTTTGGTGTACATCCAAGACTAGCATCTGATAGCAACACAGAAAAAACCCAAAACATCTTCAACAACTTTGTAATCAGTTCGTAAAACTTCATTGAATAGCGAGGACGTCGATCAAAAGTCTTGGGGCGGGGGTAGGGGTACGTAACAGGGGCAATCATCCGGCGATAAAGTCCTACTTGGGGCGATATAGTCCTACTTGGGGCGATATAGTCCTACTTGGGGCAACAATCAAGATACTTTCAAAGGTTCTTTTCCACAATGAATATATGTGTGTGTTAAAAGGTAAAAATGGCCCTTTAATCATATCGCTTCGCTTCGGAGTGTTTTTTTAAATTTGTCATTTCTTGTGCCTCTGATTTTCATGATATATTTGAGCAAGTGCGGCTTTCTGAGGCGGTGATGTTTACTAATGATGCCCCTTCGGTTTGATAAATATGAATTTCCTTTAAATATCACAAGGACAATTCCCAATTATACTCGATTCTCCCGAAACGACGCCATACAATACTGTGGATCATACAATACTGTATGAAGTCATCACTTCTCTAGAATTTATCCTCGTGCACATTAAAAAAATGTATCATATTTTAAGAATTAAATTTTAATATAGAGGATATTGTTGCGACCACACATAATTAGAATGTCTTAAATGAAAAAAAAAAATTCATGAAAGCCTACCTCTCTGGCATCGTTCAAAAGGTAATTCCCAAACTCTGACCTCACACAGCTGCAAGGTAGCATCTGGAGAGGGAATACCAACGATGACGGAATCCGACAAGGCTGGTAGCTGATCGCATACGAAATCCACCGTTCCACCGGGTACGGCAGCTTGCTCAGCCGTCACAGGCGAGCCGCAAAGACTGTTCTTATTCATTTGAAAAACTCCTGTGTTCCCAACTCTGACGACGGCGCCCGTCAAACGCTCACCTTTGGAAAAAAACATTGTTTAAGGGAGGGGGGTACAAAATGAAAAGCTTTTTAATAGTCCGTTAAGTTCATCCAAAATACAGTAGGGTTTTATATTGATTACAGGGGCGGATCCAGGAATCTTTGCGGAGGGAGGGGGGGAGGGGGTCATCTGCAGACAATTCAGAAAATGTAGACAGGTTTTTGTCTCCGTACACTTGGCCTCCGTAAAATCAAAAACTGGGGGGGGGGGGGGGACTTTATTTTTCAATAGGGGGCGCTGTTCAAATTCGACAATCGTTAACACTAGTTTACAAAATGGTGTACAAATACTCCCTTTCTAAGCTGCCTCTGTCCGTATTTTGAATAGGCGGACAGTATACAAGTCATTATAATTTTTTCTTTGGGCGTCAGAGCGGGGGGGGGGGGGGGGGGTGCATTATTTTTGAAGGTATTTCTATGGGAAAAATGTTTTGACAGAGCTGGGGGGGGGGGTATCATAGTGGGAGTGCCGTTTGCATCCAAGATGTTTGGGAAACCACCCATCATCTCAATAGGCTCTTTTTGGATTGAACACAATTATTTCAAGAAAAAACAAACCAAAACTGGCACACAAAAAAGAGGGAGAACAATGACCATTATGCATCAATCAAATCCTCGTTTTCAAGTTCTTTTTGCCGATTTAACCTTTGGATAGACAGCAGTATACCACGATTTCAAAACAGGTAATTCGACAATTACATGTACATGTACTTACTATCGCCGTCACCACGATTCAAGACACTGACTCTGCTAATACAGCGTCGCTTGTCGAGTCGTATTATCCAGTTGGGGTTTTCCTGAGCATCTGCATAAGACGAAAACAAAGATCAATTAAAACATTGTCACGTGGCCGAGAGGGCTAGCCCCCCTTTCCTTTGTGTACATATCCGACTGACTAAACGAGTGACTGACTGCCAGTTGTGCTGAAACTGGTAGTAGACTGGTGAAGGAATCAGGGCAGTGCTATCATATAGGACTACCCCGTAACGCCAATGATTGGACTAAATCCGGCCTATTGTGTAGGCTGGATGAGTAAGCCATTTGCGAGTTACATTTGAATAAAATCTGGAACGCTGACTTAATCCAATGCTTTGCACGTTTAACTTTGCATTCGCCCGACCAAAGAGACTGTTACTATATCACGTGATTCGGGGCAAGCCTTATGCTAGCAACCGCCAGCTCCGGTTTGGTCTGGTGTCTTTGTGCCATCCTCTCCCATTGTGAACAATGTATTGGTGCTGAACGTCTCTTACGTAACTATGCAAGAGCTTGCCCCGAATCATGTGATAATCAACAGTGTCTTTGGTCTGGAGAATTCAAAGTTCAAATGTGCCAAGCATTCTGAGCAAGTCAGTGTACCAGATGTTTTTCAAATGTAAATCCCAAAGGGTATAGGTTACTCGCATATGGCTTATTAAAGCGAGCCTCTTGTGAATAAAATCTGATATCAATAAATGTGTACTCTGGGGACAGCTTCATTTGGCTTGACGCGCTTTGTTTGATATATTTAGGTCTCCTCAGTTGATGGTAGCTAATCTAATGTTGTTAAGCAAATTAAAAATATTAATTTACCAGCTCTGGATGCTCAACCCATATTGAATGTCATTTTTGTGTTCTTACATGGAAACAGTATAAATTAAAACAATCGTTCTTACTAGTAATCGTGCAACTTCCTCCGTATAATTCTCCTTTTTCACCCAGCAGCTTGGTGTCGTCAAACCGACCATCGACAACTTTCTTGGCATAGGCACTACCGCGACTCCCATCAAGAGTGGAACTTTGATATGCTGGAAGGCCTATAAGACTTAGCTCCGTTCCTTCGATGTCTATTAATATAAGGAAAAAGTTCGATATACTGTACGCTAGAAAATACATGCGGAATACCAGTTATTCAGTTTAAGCTGATTTGCCTGCTTAAAACACATTTCTAGCTAGCTATGTTAAAAGAGTTTTGGGGAATCTTGTAGCGGTCGTGTCATACGTGCGTAACTGTACTATAAAGCGCGAGTTCAACACCTTGAGTCCTGGCGTGTGCATATTACACAACAAAAGAAATGGTAGACTTTGGAGACGTTGGCGGCAGCAAACACACGAGTCCCGTTCACTGGACTTTTACTAATAAATTCATAATAATGCACGCATGCGCATAAATAGGACTGGCGGCGAGCAGCCAAAGCGGTTCATTGGAAATGTACAGGAGTCCGAACATTTGGGTTATTTTCTCTCAATTTGTCCAGTATTTTTTTCCTTAGGAAACCCCATTGACAGTAATCGCAAAAGGCATATCTTTCTGGCCTAAGCGTGTTTTTTAGGGCACAGAATAAAAACGTTAAAAAAACCCAATTTATCCCGTGCGCACAAGGGCAAAGGAGATCAGCATGGCCCATTTTTCACACCAGTGGGAAAAAAATAACACTGAGCTTCAGGGTAACCGTCTACCGAATTTCGGGCCTCATTACGGTGTTGAATCGCGGCCTGGTTTTACCGAGGTTGAATAATGGAACGGGCTGATTTAACTACGATGAATCCATGTCACAATTCAGCACCACATCGATCAAGCCCGATGCTTGGTGGACGGGTACCCTGACGCAAACCGCTTGTTTTTCCAATCATGCAGAAAGGGACCCTGCTAATTCCTTTTGCCCTCGTGCGTACGGGACGAAAACAGGTTTTGAAATTTTTATTCTGTGCCCCCAAAACGCACTTTGGCCAGAAAGTAACGCCTTTGGCGATTTAATGGGGTTTTCCAAAGAAAAAAAGACGACAAAATCTCGACAAATTGAGAGAAATAGACCCGACTGTTTGAACACACATTTGTAACGGACCGCTTTGGCTTTTCGCCGCCAGGCTTTTTTTATGCGTGTATGCGTGTATAATTATGAATCTATTAGTAAAAATGTCCATTGTTTACGTCATTTTTAATCTAAAGCGCGCATGCTCAATATGCCGCCAATGTGTTTGGTGACAACAACGTCTCAAGAGTCTCGGTTGTAACGATATATCGGAATGCGTTATAGATGAAAGTCTCATTAAAGGGGTAATTTCTTAGGCCTGTACCTAAAGAACTATTTGTCCGATCTGGTTGTCACTTGATGTGTACGCAAACTGGGATGTGTCATACATGAATATTGAAGTGACGTCACCATGTGTTCATCACATCACAGAGTCATTTGAAATAGCAGAAACAGCTTGTGTTTGACCGCAAGCACATTTTTAGTTTTCTTTCTATCTATGTTTTTTCCTGTGTTTTTTTTTTCTGGACGATTGATTAAAAGCATTGCATAGCAAACTACATGCCTGAACAGATACAAGGATTGATTGAAGTTATTTTTAATTATGTTTCGGAGGCAACTAACAAAGTACCAAGGTAACAGAAACAGGAAAAAAAGTAACACTTTGGAACCTAATTTTTTTTTATTGACCCTTTTCGATGCTGTTATGTGTCATTGTTGGGCTGAAAGATATGGGAGCTAGAATTGGGGCAAAAGCTGGCAAATTGAGCTGTTGCATAGGGTGGGTTATTGCTGATGGAGAGGACAAGTTCGGGTCTTTTCAGATAAAAAACATACCTCTTGTATTTTCCCCGGTAGCCAGATCGTCTAAGGCACGCTCTAGTAGTTCCATAAGCCTGACATTATCTCTTCCCTCCTGCAGGGAATGCAGAGACAAACACCAGTCCACATTTAAACTAAACCTTATTGGAATAATCTCGGAAGTGATTTTGCACAATTTGCACAAGCTACCAATAGCAACGTCCTCTTTAATTCTTGTCAACATTAAGCGGGGTGGGGAGTTGGATGGGGGTAGCTTGGGAAATTCGAGGGCGGGGGGGGGGGGTTGGACACAATGTGAATATTGAGTGAACTGATCAAACGTGTTTTTATGCACACCTCTGATTATATGCATTTACACTTGCGGGTACGATCATTATCTAGTGCGATCAACATCTACAATTTCAATTTGCCTGAGCAATGTCCGTGAAAAGGGTTGTGCACAAGCAATATCTTACAGCTTTAAAGTGGCACTGCGTCCCGGACAGAGCCAATTTGGGAGTTTTTAACAAAATGATTGAAAAGGGCGATTAAAAGTATAGGAGCAATATTTACACATTGACCTTTTTGTGTTATTCTTACGACAACAAACTACGGAGGTCAAACTTTTGACTCCAAGTTCGAGCTGTTTGGGTGCTAGTCGTGAATCCTATCGCACATGTTAAACTACTGCATCGCATACTGCCGGTCCCACTAAAGCGCGTCAACAAGCGTCAACAAGCGTCAACAAGCCTCAACAGTCGTCAACGAGCATCAACAAATTTTGTATAGGCTTTTGAACATTAAAAACAGCTCTATTATGGTAGAAAAAGCAATAAAGAACATCTTCTGCATATCAATTAAAGTTAAAATTATTTTAAAACTTGGTTGTTTGAACGCGAAATGTACGACGAATTTATCGATAAAAGTTGGCCGCCATCTTGTTTATGTGTAGCTAGCCGTACTACGCATGCGTGAAGTGTTACGAGCCATACTACGCATGCGTTTAAATGCGGACGTGTTGGCAACAGCATCCATATTGGTGGTGGTGTGTTGATTTTTTTATTCATTAGGGGACGTTGAACAATAGGGTCCAAGTCAATGACAATAGGGTCCCAATGAAAATAGGGTCCACAATTATCGTATAGGAGGTCTTGCTGAAAAGAAATTTATGAATTTATTAGTAAAAAGGTCCATTGACGTTCTTCTGCCGAGTGGTCAAGTGGCTAAACTTTGTGCGCTGGAGTCTCACGCAAACTACTCTTATGCAACGTTGAACATTTTTTTCCCAAAATATATAGTTTTTAAACATGTATTGGTCATAACACATTTCCATTATACATTATACAGTGGCAGTGTATGCCTACTGAATGAATGCTAAAATAATGTCATAAAACAGGTTTGTTTTGTGTAAATATGATTCTGAGACTGAATGCAATACACTGACTCCATTTCCCACCATATATCATCATCTCTGATGTTGCCATGTAAAAAATGAAAACAATGCTGGTAGTGGTATTGTCCCATGTGACTGAAATACTGGACTACCTCCGTATATCAGTCACAGAGCCACGTGCGGCCTGTGAGCGGAGCGTCCCGTTGCCAGGGGAGCCGAAAATTAAATAAAGATCGAAATTATTTTGTAAACAGAAAATCAACCCAGCTATAGTATGACTGCTAAATAGCACAAAATCGTTAAATTCGGTACCTTCAGAGGTCTAGTTATCAAAAAATCATGGTAATTCGTCTAAGAATGCAGACGGTTTTGAGCAAGCATCATTGCGTCTCTGATATTTACCAGACTGTTCCCCGGCCACCCTAATAATCTCACAGAGGGTACGCGGATCTGTGACTGATATACGGAGGTAGTCCAGTATTTCAGTCACATTTATGGGACTAGGAGTGGTACACATTTCTGATTAAGTATAAAAGGAATACTTTTACACAGACTTTTGTGACGTTAGGAAACTACTTTGTTCTCATCAAATCTTTCAAGAACAATCTATACCTCAAAGAAAGAAAGAAAGAACAAATCTCCTGCATTTTTTCATGAATGGATGTTGGGCCAAGGCCAAGAAGTAATGTCCGCGCTCAATTATGGGCTATGCAGGCAGTAATACTTGCAACTGACTCCAAAACTTCAGAATCCTGCAGAACTCTGATATTCTCGGAACTTAGACTAAACTCACCGCTCTGTCTTCATATGGTAACGACAAAACCGCTTGGCCTAACATCAACACAAGAAGGAAAAGACGAACCATTCTTGCCAGAGGAATACGGTTTCGTTGGGTTTACGCAAGGTAGGCTACACCAACGGAACACTGCAGCAAACCAAAGGGCGCGGTACACCTACAGCTAAATGCTCGTAGTGTAGTGGTTGACGCGTGTCAGGCACTGCTGCAATCCTGCACGATTCCTTAATCGCCTTTAACACAAGCGACACTCTGTCGAACCGTTGAATATTTTTGAAGGTCTCTGAACAATCACCGAGGCCGATCAGCATTTAAGTCGACGTCAGCTCTGAGCCAACAAACCCTCTCATTATTGTGTCCTGTTCAGCCAACCGTGCTCCTCCTGGTATCATATGCATACAGAGTCAGCAGGATTGATTTGAAAAACCATTTCATTATATTCATAGTACGCCGTCCACAGTGTCCCCGCGATGGGCCAAATCCGTTCTGCCTTGAAGCATCTTTTATTCGTGATTTCATAAACGGTTGCCGGTGATGAATGGAATCTAACGAATCTACAACCCATTCTAGACGCCGTGCTCCTAGTGCCGACCTTTAATAGTGAAATGAGTTCGGCAATAGCTCTTCTACAGCGCTGCAGTTGCTCTAAACGTCGAACGTAATAGTCGAATATGCATCTGGAGTACTGTGCAAGGTTAAAGCAGTTAAAGCAGGTAAATGCACTTTCAGCGCGAGCAAAAATATTTCGCCAATTGCGTGTCAGCCCCCCCCCCCCTCCCCCGACAGACATCCTCAAGAGCCCCCACCAGAAGTTTAACTCAATATGCCACTTTGCGTGAGATCTGAAAACACGATGTCTTCAAATTTAAAATGCTACAATCTTATCCAGCCAATATGCAGTGTCAACCAATCAATCAAGTCGAGGCCCTTTGGCAGCTCAAGCCCTCCCAATGATCTCGGTCCACATGTCCTGGTCTATCCAGTATGCAGGAGCGCCGCTCCTCAGCGGTGGTCAGGCCGGTTTCCCGTTTCAGCAATTTCACGAAGAAGAGATTTTTTTCTCTCACGTGAGGCAGTGCCCATTGTGGGCTCCTAGAGAATGATCGGGCTAGCGGCCAGCTCCAGGTGACGGACGCAATGCCCTGCAAGCTTGAGACGGCGTTCCCGGACCTTTTTTTCGTCACCTTTGGCAAGCCAGCGTAGAATCGTATAACATATTATTATGGAAAATGGGGATGGGGAATCATGTTTGAGGTGAAGTGGACCTAGTTATTCACATTGAACGATAATACACATTGAAATAACAACATCAAGTACACGATATAAATTCATTGCTTGCTATTGCTGCAGCGAATCAAAATACGGGAAGCAAGTTTCTTAACCAGAGGCTACTTTTGGAAACGAGGTTGAAAATAAAATAACTCCCGATGACAAACATGATGAGGCAGGGCTCTACGTAAAATCGTTACAAAAGTTCAGATGATAATATCAGGCATTTTTCTTTGTGGTTCTGGGGTCGTTTCTGTTTTCGAATATGACTCTATAACAGGGGCAAGTTCGATCAATGACTACAGTACATCCAAAATACCCGCGACATATTTTGCGAGGCGCTAGCGTCGCCGCGGAAACACGTACCGCCGTTATTTGTGTATATTTTTTTTAAAGCTAGGAATATTAACTTTATCCCTGGTAAGTATTTGTTCGATGTTAAAAAGAATTGTATCATTATTTGTGTTCAAATAAAGGCATGTTGATTGAAAACAAACAGATTTCAAGGAAAATCTATGATTCGGTACATCAGTTGCAAACTCGATTCACACTTTGAGCGCGCTTTTTGAATGGATACATACTTGCACGTGAATTTCAAAATTTAGATTAAAACGAAGAACAATATTGTGAATTCATTTAAAGTTTAGGAAACAAAGAAAATAAAAAGCAACGAGATCGTCACATGATAAACATGATGAACCATTTCCACATTAGAAAAAAATAGATTTTCCTATAAATCGGTTGAGTTTGTTTTTGACATGCCTTTATTTGAGCACGAATCATTTCAAAACCCTTTTAAAAATCAAACCAATACTTAATACCAGGGATACAGTAATTAATAAAGCTTTAAAACGATGTAAAAATAATGGCGGTACGTGTTTCCGCGGCGACGGTAGAGCCTCGCAATAAAATGTTGCGTATTTTGGGACGTGCTGTAATGGTTAAGTAGTGGTTAGTTTGTGACGTTCCTTGCACATGCGCACTGAACTGGAAGTTCGAACGACTTTAGCCGAATTATTGTTATGTCAACGAACGCGAGAAAATGGCGGTCGCGCATCTGCTAATGAATTTTTCAACAATTGATGCTTCAGTTTGTTGACACAAATAATATTGATTGTGTAGTTTAGGACGCCTTATAAAATCTCCGTTATCATTGAATCGTGGTGACAAAGATGACAGTATTGTAAGCTAACATAGAATAACTGTGCAATGAAAATCTAGCACTCATAGTTTTCGTTTGATTCGTCATTTTGTTGACAATTGGTCCCCTTTGAACTACGCTATGAAAAAAATGCAATTGATAACCAGCTATACTCAACTTGCGCGACCAGCCGCATTGGTTAGCTGAGTTCAGGGAACCAGCCTTTTAGTTATATATGTGAATTCCAAAGCACTTTTTTTCAAGGAGGGCGCTTTTAGTCTCACAAAACCTGAGTGATGCTTCACCGAATTTTAAGTGTAGAAGAGTATTGTACCATTGGTATTGTATCGATTAACAAGAGGAATATAGGTGCCCGGAGATATTTATTTGCTCCATGATCGGTGCGATCATCGAGGGGTGATCGACCACTGGTCTCCGTACAGAAGCATGAATTACGGATCGTGGATTTCAAATACCCCCATGGCTGAAACAGGTTGTACGTGCAAGTATGCTGCTCTCAGGTGAGCGTTTGTTTTCTAACTTGGAAAACGCAACTAAGACAGTAAATTGTGCGTAAATCGCTTTATTCAGTGCACAATATCCATAAACCCAATAAACAAAATGACTTTAAAATAATTCTTCAAATAGACAATCGTACTCGTTACATTCTGATAAACGCAAAATTCTTTTTGCCATCTATCACTGCTTTCTTTACGCGAGTGAACGTTTCTCAACTTCGAGCATTCGGAAATCCAATTACTTTTTGTATCGATCGGATTAACTTCGTAACAATACTAGTGCGCTGACTTAGCACGCGCCCTCTCCCGTCTGTTGTCGGGGGATTATCCGACCAGCTGTACGGTCACAGGGACTTGCACAATCAAGTGAAACTCATATCTCGGGCTAAGATCAAATGTACCATAACATTTTATATTATTCCATACCTTATGCAATCTTTCCCATAGAAAAGGTCAAACTGTACTCGGTTCCTTACCCTCACCTCGTTCCTAATCATCCCATCCATACAAAAGGTGAAACTGTGCCGAAAATTCCCACCTTTCTTTATTTAATATTCATAACTGTATATACATATTTACATGTTTATGTAACCTTTCATATTTCTTTAGAAAAGGTCAAAGTGTGCCAGACAGTCTACCTAAACTACTTAGTCCTGAAGCTAATCGCCATTTTAAAAAAACGATGCGTACACTACATTGCAAAATAGAGCGCTTTTAGGGCCCCCAATTTCATCCAAATTGTGCCGAGGATCCAGCTCACAGTCCTGTGCACGGCTTTCACCCATACATTTTACAAACCCTCAAGTTTATGGTCCACAATATACTCAAATACTGAAGAATTTGAGGGCGTGCAAATCGTGATTTGGCCAGCATAGGCAATTTCGGACCGATTTACTGGCCTGCACCCTGATAAGAAGTGATAGGAAAATTAGAGATGGCGGAAACTTGAATACGGAGTGAGTATACTGGAGAGATTTATGACACTTTATTAAATATTGCAAATTATTAAAGGTGCTGCATTGGATTTAGTAATAATTAATAATTGAGAGCATGTACTCCGATTACGTCGATGTTGATCTGGTTAAAAGTAGTCATTTCATTTGGATGTTTTGATTTGAATGAATCCCGGGGTCACCACAGTGAATTCAAGTTAAAATTATAGAGTACATATCAAGTTAGGTGGTGACACATTAAAAAAAACAACAACAACTATATTTGCAAGTGAAGCAGACGAAGTGTATCAGGGTGTGTTTATATTTGTATAGTCCCGCCCCCAAACAACCTTTGACCTATAGTTTTCAAGAATGCAAAGGCACGTGGCTTCCCCGGGGTTGTAAGCCCGGGCATACACGTGTCAACTAAATGAACGCACCATATGATAATGAGCAGGCGCAATCAGGTTCAACGTCGGCACTACGATGCAATATAATTGTTCTCTTGTAGTCGTTCTCATTCAACATGGTGAATTCGTGAATGTTAGATATTGTTCTTAAATTTGCAAATTGCTTTTAATGATAACCGATTATTCATGTGATTTAATTTTTTTTTGGCGTTTACATGTCGTTTTATGACAAGGGTATAATCTTATAAACATAATTTGACCTCATATCGAACTTCAATTAGAGAACTTGACCAATGTGAACCACATCAAGGAATTGTGGCCTTTTAACTCAGAAGCCGTGCAAAAATCGCGTGTACTTCGCATGGTTGAATTGGCAAGCTGAATTTAAAGATAGCCCATTATTTCAGTGTCATTTGCCGGAACAGCCTTTGTTTTCGTTGAGATGTTTAATTTTTCTTAATTATTTGTTTTTCAGTCAGTTTGCCTATAGCATTGCTACAATTTGTTTTTGGTTACCGGCACGTTGACAACTAATACTAATATGAATTCCGTTGCATTTATACTTGGCACAAACTTAGACCAGCACTTGCAGATATATGCCGAATATTGACGTCATCATGACGTCATCTTGTGTCACAAAAAGGTGCATAACTTGAAGGTCTATATCTCCAGAACTACTAGTTCGATTTGGGTGAAACTTGGTACGTATCTAGACCGGGATGTGCTGTAGATGAATACTGAAGTGACGTCACGATGAAGTCATCACATAACATGTGACGTCACGTTCGATTTGATTGAAAATTGGTATGTCTTTAGACTGAGATGTGTTATGAATGAACATTGAATTGACGTCATTGTGACGTCATGACGTGTCACGTGACGTCACAATGGAGGTGCAGATTTGAATATGCATGCCTTAGAACACATAATTAGAACAGTGCCAAGTCGCGTGGGAGAGTGAGAGTCCACATAAAGTATAAAGGTCCAGGTCTCACAAAAGTCTCATTTTCATAAGGTACCAGCTTATTATAAAACAGA